GGGAACTTAAATGAGAATTCCGTATATATTTGTGAATATTACACATGAAAAAAATAATTTTGTTTGAGGCGTTACTAGTGCTGGTTTGATCGTCACTCTTTAATAACAAATAAAAATTTCTCACCTTGGTAGTGGCACATAGTACATTCCGCTGTTGCAGGAATGGGCAGGCTTCTTCAAGAATTTACCACTGCCTCACAGAAGGCCGGCGTGAAGTTGAAGTATACTTTTGCGTTTCGTCAGTTGGCAACGCATCAGCAATCCCACAGGTGTTGCAGATGTCCATGAGTGGTAGTAATTACTTAATATTAGGTAAAACGTCAACTGGCTTGCTTTACCTTCTTTCGAAATAAAAAAAACTCAGGCTACGGGCAGATTTTTAAAATTAACTTTTTTGGTCCTGATATTTTCCGCACATCTCTTTCTTTTAATTGCAAACCATTTTATGAAAATTACTTCTGAAAACACTCGTTTTAGACATAATATATGCCTTCTACAATATTTAAATAATTCTTTTTGATTCGATACTCATAACGGGACGGGTACATTTTTTTTAAATTAAAAAGTTTACTTTGAAATCAAAAGTTAGTTTGGTCCTATATGTCTACTTATTAAGTAACGGTCAATTTTTTTCATTCCATAATTTCTTTTCTTCGTTAATTGCGGCACATAATCGTTGCTCTGAAACATCCACACCTGACTCCACCAGTGGGAGATCGGTGTAGGGGTTCGCTCCGGCTGACTCAATCGGACCGATCGAGACCACAGGGTGAGGCTCGGTGACCCAGTCACGGGGACGGACAGAATTTATTTTAAATAGGCGCCAGCCCGCCCCGTGCAAGACAGAATAATGCTTATTCTAAGGGATTTACTTAGTGGAAATAAAAGATATATTCCCTTAACAGTTTTAGAGTTTATTGATACAAGGTTTGAATATAAAACTAAACTATATCAAGTTAAAAATATAGAAGGAGTGAGATCTCACCAATCAGGCATAATAATAGTTACATTATGAGTTAAGTATACATTAAATTAATCACTGTCACAAAGCAGTATATAAATATAATCATGAGTTTAATGGCTAGTTAGATTAGAGCAAACACATACCAGAAGGAAACATAACCAGGCTTGCCTTCTCACTTTCCAAATAAGGGTGAAGACCTCAGCTCAGCAATGCTCACATGCCACCGAGGGGCATTCAGCTAGTCCGCGAGGCTTCAAGTTGCACGTGGACAGCAGGACCTCAGATTCTTAATATATATGCAGTTGCATATAAGGCGAACACGCGGTTCGATATCAAGCCATCAGATAGAAGCAGATCAGAGTGATACGAGGTAGCATTAAAGAAGAAAGAGAAACCAATAAAAAAAAACCCTGTAACAAAATACCAATTGTTAACAAACGATGGACCGAAAACAGTCAGATCCCAAAAATATATGCACAAAGGAAACTTACCAACGATGTGGATTTTTTATATAAAATATAAAGGCCAAGAAGCCATATACAAGTAGGATGTAAAAGAATGTGGCCTAGGATGCCACATACTCCTTTCCTACATTCTCGAACTATGCAGAGGCGCTGCCGCCAGGCGGCGGCCGCCTCAGAGCTCCAATAAGAAATGATCAAGACGAAGCTGACTGCCGTTCTCGCAGGAACGACAGATGATACAAGCAACAGACTATGCTAAACAAGACAATGTTTCTAATCGAAAATTATGTAAAAACAAATTTGCTTGATATCAGTTCAACATAATTAAAATGATAGTATTTTATATTTATATTTTATTGTCTTATATATTATATATAAGACAATAAAATCACTAGTACCGAAATAATCCAAAGAAATAAACAAAGACAAAACAACAAGGTGACCTAACGCCATCTATGATAAATGAAATGTAGATTTTCTAAGGATCCCATTCAACTAGATTATATTGTTCACGATAGATATCGCTATACGATCCACTATGGATTGCCAATATAAGGCACTCGAATCTTAAGGGTACGAGGCGTCGAAAAAAAAGTGTCACAGCTCCTAACAGCCGTCTCTCACGCAGTCACATCATTAAACAAACCGTTCACAAATCCCTCACAGCGATTGCTAGCGCAATAAACTAATGGCAAATGTAATTACAATCGAAGCAATAACATCGCTTCATAGCACCTGCGAGGCATTAGCATAAAGATTGTTCGCTCCGTTCGAAATTGCCACACCACTGGCGCAACTGACCTTGGCACCACTAAGTGGACGTGTGGTTTATATTTATCTCTTTAATAGATTTAGAATTTTTTTTTTTTTTTTTTTTTTTGGGTGTGACTAGATGCCGCCGTTCCTACTAACATACCAGACAAAACGTAGGAGAATTCATATCCATTTCACGCTGGTCTTCTGTGAGGTCGTGGTTTTTTTTTATGTGAAAAAATGGCAAACTAGTTGGCGGTTCACCTGATGTTAAGTGATAACTGCCGCTCACGGACATTTACGACACCGGTTGCAGATGTGTTGCCACCTTTTAATAATGTGTGCCCTGGCTACCTCACTCACCAGACGAAACGCAGAAGTGTAACTCTTCCACTTCACGCTTGTCTTCTGTGAGGACGTGGTTCGGGTAGCAGTGACCTGGTGCGTGACTCTGCCACAGAGAATAATGTCCCTGTAAAGCTTTTAATTTACGTAAGGGCGGAAAATAAGGGGTCTTCTTATGTTTTGTCTCATTTCTGAATGTGGTAAGGGATAACAACAGTGAGTGAGGTAGCCGGGGCCGGCTTTATTCAAAAGTGGCAAAGCATCTGCAACCTCATCGATGTTGCAAATGTCAAAGGGTGGCAGTTTTTTAACATCAGGTGAACCGCTCGGCTGACACCTTTTTGAATGAAAAAAGTAATTTTGATAGATTAATAATAGACGTTGACAAAAAATTCACGTTCTACTTTTGCTTTTTTGTTTTTACTGTCCCAAAAAATATTTTAATCACTGTCGTTTGAAGTGAAAAGCTGACCTCATTCCCCTTTAAAAACCCAAAAATGTCATTCGCCCACGATCGGCGAATATTTTTTTTCCGTTTTATATTTGGATTTTAAAGTTGGACTGTTAAAATCTCGGCCTTGGCCCCAAATTTTTCAAGTACGCCGCTTTGGGTCAGTTTAAAGGGGCAATGGGCGAGTTTATTCTAAAATAAAGTTATAAAAAGCCAGAGATCGAAATGCAGCACAAGTAATTTTACTGTGGGGTAGAAACTTAAATTCCGAACGTAAAACTATAAGAAAGTCGAAGCACTGAAAATTCTGTGCAGTTAACGATGCTTATTATATTATGTTATTAATATGAGATTTAGAGATCTTCTGTCGTATTTTCTCAATCGCAAAGTACCTACGTACGTGTTATGTGTAAACCTGGATTTTTTCTCATCTGTTCGAAGTATTTGTAACGTTTAATATGTATATATAAGGCTGCATCGCCACTCACCATCAGGTGGGATGGCAGTCAAGTGCTGGCCAGTTGCAAATAAAAAAAAATCTAAGCACTTCCGTTTGAGTGAAGAAAATAAAATGGAAGAGTGCAAAGCTCTAGCCGCATTGAGACTTCAGATTAACTTAAGATTAACTTAGAGAAGTATTTCCACAGTGCATGTGAACTGTTAGAAAAATGTCTTGTCCATAAGCTCTCTTTTAGAGCATTACTTGCAACTTAAGTTAGATCTAATTGATGAGAAAGTGTTCTTGCTCGGAAGTAAACGATAAAGTTACTAGATTAGAAATATCTTCACAGTCCTAACTTACGATCTTATGTAACTAGTTGTTTTATTTTAAAATCAGTAATAAGTGGCCGGTCGTAATAATTAATTTATCTGCGATATATTACATTCTGTAGGGGTAGGTAAATTCGTTTTAAAATCTGTAGAATAAAGTACGAAAAGTTTTTTCGCCGCCGTCTGGGCGCGTATCCCGAAGTTCGATTCCCACAGCGGTGAAAAAAATTTCGTACTCTTTTCTACACATTTAAATGTTTCATCTTAAGTGCAGAAATAAGCACTATAAAAAATTAAATAGGTAGATTAAATTAATATTAAAAAGTCTTGTTTATTTTTACCATATGTCGTGTAATGCAATAATAATGAAGATCACCTTTTAATAACATAGAATAGAATAATTAAGCGTCCTTTATAGGTTTTTTCGTCTTCTATACACTTTACAATCCCTAGGTCAATGTAGATAACAAATTACCGCAAGGAAAGTTCCAAAATTCAATTTGGTTCTACTGTCTAGTTGGCAATTTGTTCCAGTTACTTCACAAATGTGTTTTGCATTTATAATATTCAGCAATTGAGATTAAAGTTCGCTTCAGAAAATTTGATGGTAACAGTTAAGTAACTTTTTAATACTTTGCGGTCTGGTTTAAGTCATATTTACAACTAGCTAATTATTAATTTTTTGTAACACTGGAAATTAGCGTCCTTCTGAAAAAAATTGTGAAAGCAGATGTAGATTTTTTTATAAATATCTTTCATTTTAATCATAAATACAAACTTTTTTTGTCTTAACGGAAAACTATTTTATATGCACTGGATTTAGATTCGTCTTATACAGTGAAGGTTTCATTCACTGCACAAATACCCTGCAAATAGCTACTTTAATGATCCCACTTGATTTCAGTATTCCTGAGTTGACAAGTCTTTCCGAGCGCGCCCAATCTCTTTTATACTAGTAGTATTGTAAATAAAGAGTTCGAATTTTGTAAGATACTGTGTAGATAAAGTTTAATCTTTTTTGAGTACCAGTGGATCTGGTAGGAAATTTTTTCAAGGTTTAAAAGACTTTGGGGGCAGAATTGTTTTTACTCTTCTGCGAATCAAATCAGCGAAATGCAATGAAAATGTTTGATTAATAGCTGGCCAGGTTTAGAAAATGGATTTCAATGCAATTTGCGATATGGTAACTTTGTAAGCAACAAAGTAAGTATTACTAGACACAGCTAGTCTTATGTAAGTGTTATTGTTACAGACAAAGCACCATCAGAGGCGACGTTTAGAGGCGCTGAATTCTTGTCTTACGATCTCACGCAGACCGGAGGCGAGCCCATAGTGAGCACGCAAGACGCCATCTCACTATACTTCAAAACTCGACAGCCTAATGGACTCCTGTTTTATACTGGTAAGTAGCTATTGGTCATCAACCGACGTCAAAAAAGAAGGAGGTTCTCAATTCGACTGTAATTTTTTATGCTGCCTTATAATTTTCGACTGAGAGAAGAGATTTTGACGATTTTTTTTTATTGACAGTGGGTGTTTCCCATGTGGTCTCGTATTAATATAATTGGTATTGGTTCTTGGGCTCCGGAGATAGTTAGGGAACTCCCGAAAATCAATTAAACAATTAATACAGAGCGAGATATTCGAAGTCGGGTTTGTTTTTCGTTAGTAAAAAAAAACCGTTTAAAAACTTGCTTGGTTATTATGGTTTATACGCTGATGGAAGGACTTTTCATGTTTGGAGATGGCAACCGAGCTGGAGGTTCACCTGATGTTAAGTGATAACTGCCGCCAATGGACATCTGCAACACTCACAAGAATGGAGATGCGTTGCCAGCAATTAATCAACGAACGCTGAAGTATAGCTCATTAACTTTACGCAGGTCGTCTGTGAAGCTGTGGTACTTTACAAGATGGACCTGCCTATTTGTGCAACAGTGAAGACTGTTGCGTTACCCTACCACAATTTATATTTTGCCCATCAGCGAGACATGGTAAATGTGATTGTTGTTAGGTACTGTCAAGTTATGGTTTCGATTCTAAAAGAACGATATAAATTTTGAAACCTTTATTTCAAAAAGCCTCCTGAATTCTACTGTAAGCCTTGTGTTGCGTAGTTTCATGTAATGACAAACACAAAGTACAACCGCGCTCGCGACAAATATTTGTGGATCGCGTAAATTTCACTCCGTGCGGGCTTGGCGGATTTCAGTGTGCGCTAAAATCACGGCTTTATCCGTGCAATTGGAATAACATAGTCTTTGTGAAGTTGTATGTCGTGACAATACCTATATAAATGGTAGGTAGTATGTAGTCTACACATGTGGTAGAGACATTTGCAACCCTACCGGTGTTGCAAATGTCCATGGACGGCGGTTATCACTTAACATCAGGTGAACCACTAGCTCGTTTGCCACTTTGCCACATAAAAAAAAAAAACATGTGACCATATTTTTATTCGTCTCCGTTCCCACAGGTCACGAGGCGGACTATCTCAACCTCGCTGTTAGGGATGGTGGGCTCTCCCTCACAATGGGCCTCGGAAACGGCAAGCAGGAGATGCACATAAAGCCGGCTAAGACCAGGTTCGACGACCACCAATGGCACAAGCTCACCGTCAGGAGGCGTATACAAGAGGTGAGTTTTAAATAAGTGGAATAGCTTACAACTTCCTAAATCCGCAAGTAGTTGACACCAATGATATTATATACAAATATATAGCGGACCCATCAAGTAACACTTCGTAAAATCCTTTCTTAGCTGACCTCTACTCGGCGAAAGGAATATTCCTACCAAATTTCAAGTCTCTACGCCTTATGGTTTCAGAGATATCGTGATGAGTCAATTATCGCACGCACGCGATTAGCGCATCGTAACTGAGGCACTCAAATTATTCTATAGACTGCTATCTCTTTCCGTATCATACGTTCTATAACATCTGTCACATTAACTTATATAATGTCATAGTACCCGGAGGACCGAGCTTTGCTCGGATTTTTTTTTTGGTGAATCATGTGTTTTGGAAATTACATTTAGATACAAATTACTGAGTAATGAAATATGCGTAATATTTTTCGATCTTACTGACGTAATAATAAGAAAATATGAACTGATGTTTTTCACAAAAGAAAGAACTTTAAAAAAAAGGGTAAAAAAGTAACAAAATAACAAATCGACAAAAAATTAAAAATAAAGAAAGCAATGATTTGTAATCGAAAAAAAGTAAAAAAATAAAAGTGTAAATGATCGTGACACGAACCACGGCCTTCTGTTTCGTGGCTGTTTGTTAGCGGCCGCCCGATTAGCGACCGAGCTAGTATAACATTTTTTAGTTCGATGAAATTTACCGTCGTATTCGAATAATATTTTTCATTCCCTGAAAACTGGGATAAAACGACATTTTCTAAAAATGAAACCTAGTCAGATCGATTTTTCGCCCTCGAATCTACGCACATACTAAATTTCATGAAAATCACTGGAGCCGTTTCCGAGATTCCAATTATATATGTATACAAGAATTGCTCGTTTAAAGGATAAGATAACGTAAAGCGGAACAATTTTTAAGCGTCACGCAGTATGGACATTCGTCATCTATATTATTAAACATCATTGGTTGGCACTGACTTGTTTCTATTCGCTTTGTTATTCGAATAATTACGTGAAAGGTAGGCGTGTTTTCAGCTATTATGTTTGTTTTTGAACAAAAAGAATTTCTGAGCCTGAATACTTAGGCCTAGTTTATTCAGTAAAATCACTCATAAAGTATAAACTTATCTTTGGAAAGTTAGTTTATGATAGGAAAACACAAGTCTATTAGTCTATATTCGTAATGATGTTTATACTATCCTTGAAATTTCTTTGAACTTGGGTCGATAACGTATTTGCCTTTAGCGTGTACTGTTCGACAAACTATTCCCACAGCTTCGAATCATTAGCTGTGTAAAATTATAATGCAGGAAACTCCAATTAATCATGCAATCTTTTTTAATGTATTTCATAGAAAATTACGGTTATTTTCTATGAAAAACACTAAAAAAGATAGCTCAGTAATGGTGTTGTATGAGGTAGTCGAAATTGTATCCTGTATATTTTATATCCTAGAACTGTATGCCAATGAGTTCGCTAAGAAAGAAAGTTTGTTCATTTCTTAACTATTTACGTTGCAGCTTGGTGCGGATGACAGCTGTCATTCAAATCACGTTTATCAAGTTCATAGCTGCAGTGTTGAAATTTATTGCTAGAAGTGTACGGATAGTGGCGTTCCTTGGGTCGTCTTCCCTTTAAAAAACAAAAAAAAATCTTGCCCTTCCTTACTTTAGGATAACATTACTCTGTGTTGTAAGGACAAACATAAACTTCACGCGGACAAACACCCAGATGTGCGAACCTAAAATTCCTATGAATTCTAACAATTACAATAGCAACCAAAATGAATAATTGAATAAAAACATTACTTCCTCACATAAACCATATTATACATATTCAATTTTATTAAAATTTCAGTAACATTTATTTATCTAACATTTACAACATTGAATCTATCTATAATTACATATTATCTTACAAACCTAATCCACGCAGCATGGTGCCAAGAATGCTAGCTGCGTTACCTCGCTGAATAGTTATGCTTAAACATTGAGCGAGAAAAGAACCAGCTCGCTTGTCACGTTGTTAGAATGATATGATGCTAAATATTTCATAGGAATCACAATTAAACGTCTCGCCGACCTCTCCTAAATGCGACGCCGAATCTGGCTCCACTGGAAAATCCATTGTCACCGTAATTCTATTCGTGGCAACTGACCTAGAGGGTGTAACTTTATGTGCAGTAAGGCAGCACTAAGTTAAAGCTCGGCCGTGACCTTTGCTTTGTGACTGGTGGCTTAAAGCGATGTGCTTAAAAATACCTCTCACTTAGCGTTATTAAAACGCTAGCTAGCGATACACCGTTACACTTGGCGTGTGTTCATTTAGTGACGGTTTGTTCTTGGATTTTGCCAAGTCAAATTGTATTTTCATCATTATTACCATTTTATTATTGTACGCCTCAAATATGTATGTTTTGTGCTGATCCGTGATTTCCAAATTAATTGGTGTAGCATTTTTTATCTCTTATTACTTAAGTTTAGTCCACCACATAAAAACCGCAGAATGTCACAAAAACCTTGTAATTAGAAGAAGAAAATTCAAGTTTTCACCATTAAAATTACCTTGCTTTTTTGCTTGTTACGTTTCGTTATCATCGTAGTTTTAAGATTCTTAGTTATCATCTTTCGTTAAGTTACCTAGTTTTAATATAGTATGACAGTGAACTTTGTCTCTTCATCGTTGTATAAAATTATTGACGACTATTTCAGTATGTGTAAAAAATTCTACAGTATACACATATCTAGGTATTATTTAAAATCACTATACACGATATGTTACATCTACTTATACTAACGAAGTTATTTAGAGGTTAAATCCATATAAATGTGTTAGTACCAAATGATAAAAATCACATATTATTGACTACATATCACAGCATGTTTTACAAATACGAGTATCTTTGTTCGTTTAGAATCGAGGTAAAAATTTGAAAAGGGTTTTAATAATAAAAAGTCATGCATTGAAATTTACCTACTCGGGTACTATTATTATACTTCCAAAGGCAACTAAAGCCTTCGAAAAGCGATGTGAATAGCGCCGGGCGATCTATGACAAGTTACAATTTATTTATAAGGTTGGTGCCACACTCGGCTGTTTCGAGTTGTACAATATTAATGCAGCCTTACTACTCATTCGCGGCACTGAATAATGTTACGACATAAATATGTTCAGCGAGCCTCAAATTCTGGTCGTGGCCTTAAAGCATTTTCAAATTTAATCGTGTTACATAAATGTTTTTTTTTATTGCAAATTATGTATCAGATTAATTAACTTTAACTCTTCGTTAAGTTATATTGCTAATGGGCTAGAAGTATTGCTAAAGATACACCTGGTGATTTTATTCCAAACTAGATAAAGAAAAAACAAATATATAGAGGAATTTAGAAGTGTATTTTAATTTAGTTTTTGATATTATCTTATTATAATTAATTATAGTTTATATAAAGTGTAAACTTACGTAGTGGTATAAGAAAAGAAACTTTTCTGTTGTTTTCTTTTCTTTTTTGTGCATGTTTGTATTATATTTCTAAGTGGTGCGTGTAGGTAATGGTTTGTAGGAGTTTAATCAAGAAGGGACTATAAATGAAACTAATTTTACGGATTTATCGCGTTTATTTTTAATTTTAATTCCCGACGTTTCGAACCCTTTACAGCGTTCATGGTCACGGGACAGACTGAGGTGTTAGACGTCTGATTGTCAAAGTTAACCCGGGCTACCGTCAGTTTTTGAATTATTAATTTTGTGTCCGATCTATGCAGAGGGAGCTAATTGTATCTTGTCTTGCAGTAGTGGTTCGTTTGGGCCTAGATTTAATTTTATTGATGACAGGATCCCAAGCTGATCCGTCAATCATCAATCAATCTGTTACTGAAAATATGCGTAATGTGACTAAGATTATATAATATAATAATAACAGTTGCATTTTTCTACTGATAAAATTACCGTTGCAGTACTTTTTGAGTTACATTTGGATTTCACATAAAGTTACACATAACGAATACTTTCATTCTTTACCCGAATCACAGTTCAGCGACGACCTGGTGTTTTGCCATCTGTTGGAGAGGTCACGGAATAAAGTACAGTACAGGTCGTAATAAAATAAATATTCAAAAAATTTACGGTATCCCCACCATTACTCCTAATCTAGTCAGATTCCCTCTGAAATTAGAACGTAAAACAATTCAGCCTGTCCCTTGATGACAAACGCCGTAAAGTGTTCAAAAATCGCAATTTAAAAACAAAATAGGTAGTGATTTAATCTTAAAATTAGTTAGACCTAAATATCTTTATGTTTTACCGAAGTTTATAGTGTTAGTTTCTTTGTATATTCTTTAAAGGTATGCACTATTATATGAAAATTATCTTTTTTTTTTAAAAACATTGCCCTTAGGTAACATTATCCTGTGTAAGGACGTTTGTAACGTTTTAATGTGATGGGTTGTTAATTAAGGGATTATTTAATAAAAGATTTATTGGCAGTTAAGATGTTGTATTTATCCCTTCAGTTTTAAGTTACAATCCCTGGACTAGCTCAGATACAATATATTTTAAAACATAATAATAATAATAAGTTGGGCGCCTTGTCTGTTAGGAACAGACTGTTGTAATAGTTACAATTAAGTATCTCAGGGAGTCGTGAGCACATAGGACCTACACATTACCTTGTGCAACCATAAATGGTTAAATAATTAAGTTAATTTGAGATTGTAAAAGTTATGCAATTCAATTTAAAAACAAAGTCCAATCAGGTGGTCATTTTAAAATCTATGTCACCGCAGACACCAGCCCTGTGTGCACAGGTCAGCGTTGAGCTCAGAACCAGTAGAGAAAGTCAGGCCAAGTGTAGTGTGCACAGCCCCACTGTTGGGGGGTATGTAGGAAACCTCCTGCCAACAAACACTACATTGTAGAACTAACAAAGGCAGGGATATGAATCCACGTACAATTAAAAGATGTGAAAAACTTACCAACTGGAGGTAAAAAACAATATTTAATAGAGCAGCAGCTCAAACCAGCTTGCCAGCCACCTATGACTTCAGCTTTTCTTCAGGGTTTTCGAATATCACAGGTGGATACCTGTGATATTCGAAAACCCATACTCAGAAACACGAGACAATAAATTCTCAACCCACCCTCATGTGAGACCTCCAAATACATTCACAATGCAAGTCTTTTACAATTTTAGTAGGAAACCAGTGAAAATAACAGAGGATCTTCCACGAGGGATAACAAATCCAGCAGAGTTCCCAGACAGGAATCACTCAGATAATACGACCAGGAACGTGTTCTGATTTCAACCTCTAGCCATGCACTGTAAAAAAGCGAATTGATAAGAAAACGAAATACGCAAACAAAACAACCACCGGCATGAACGAAACCAAGCAATTACTTACCGGTCGAAGATAATGGATCCAAAAAAAACTAATTTATCCAATGTCAATTCGAACCGGCGGCAATCTCAAGTTAACTTTTTGATTCAACCTTTCGAAAAGGCAAAGGTTCATAGGACATGCAGCCTAGTCTTTAGAAAAACAACAATTTCGACAAAGTGATGAAATCACCCGTTACACGTTTTACAAACCTAAATTTCACGTGGACAAACACCCAGACACGAAACAATTATTTGTGGGTCACAAAAATAGTTGTCCCGGTCGGGAATCGATCCGAAACCACATCCCCCGACGCCGAAGCCAGTACCTTGGCAGCTTCGCCACGGAAGCGAGTGCGGTAGCCCAGTTTTTGATAAGTTGGTAATGCATCTGCAACCAGTAAGGTGTTGCAGGTGTCCATGGGCGGTGGTAATCACTTAACATCAGGTGAACCACCTGCTAGCTTGCCAGCTTTTAACATATAAAAACTTGTACACAGAAATATATTTTCTTAGTTAATGTTGTGTAACATAATAAAGCTTCGTGTGTTATACAGTTCCGTGTATATGTAAACATGAATACACTTTTAAATATGGTGTCTGATTAATGTTACACTTGCATAAGTTTCCACTGAAATTCAGATCGGTTTCCAATTTGCAATTTGGTATTACTCCCGTCCGCCTACACTTTTATTCGATACGTACTGCCAATTGGAAAAATTTGCATTGCAGATGAATTAATCACGCAAACAACAACGTATTGGCATTTTGGTTTCGCTACATTATTGCCAGTTTAAATATGTCACGACGTCGGCTACTTTTTCTCTTTATTGGTGCTGCGTAGTAATACCGTAATATCCTATAATAATATTATAGGACCGTATCACAGTAGCAAGAATGAATGAGTTTTCTTTTTGATTGCTTTGCAGATTTTCTAATTGAGGCAGTGGCAAGTCTAAGTACAGCCGTGATAGCTCAGTGTCCGGGCGCTCGCCTTTAATTCAGTATACTCGAGTAACCTGAGTTCGATCCCCGGTGCCGGCACCAATGAAATTGTTATTTTTAAGTAGCGAATTATCACGTGCTCAGCGGTGAAGGAAAACATCGTGAGGAAACCTGCATATTTTCTAAATAATAACAAAAAAAAATATTTCGAAGATATGTGAATACCACGAATCCGCAGTGGGGCCCCGTGGTGGACTATGCCCCGATACCCTCTGTACAGAGGAGGCCTTTGCCCAGCAGTGGGACATGTATAGGCGGTGGCAAGCGAACCGGCAGTTCACCTGATGTTAAGTGATAACCACCGCCCATGGACATTTGCAACACCCGTATGGCTGCATATGCTTTACCTTTTAATAAAATAAATGGCCCTGCCTACCTCACGGACCAGACGAAACTTATATGAAGTATAACACTTCCTCTTCACGCCGGTCTTTAGTGAGGTCATGGTATCGACGGATGGACCTGCCCATTCGTTCAACAGCGAAGACCATGTTGCGTGACCAATATACGTCCCACAGGTGGGAAAAGGCCTACTCCATATAGATGGTATTAGGGCATAAACAAACACACGACCCTGAGAAGATTGGCGGTCTTCATTCATCCATTCCATCCATTTTTGTACTTGTCAGAACAACAAATGTTTCTGACTTATAAAGTAACATTTGTCGTGTTTTTTCGCGAAACTGTTTACTCAACAGATTGCTACTTAGCGGAACTCTTTTAACTTTATTCATGTCAATAGCTTTCGTTTATATTATTTGCTGGTGGAAATTAATCTTCATTGTGATCGTAAAATATTTGTATTATTTTTATTTAAGCAAAGCAAAAATATTAAGGGCATTCTAATAGACTATTGATGATTAAATTTTTCTCTTAAACTAAAATTAAAAATTTTCCTCTTCTTTCAGATAACACCGTTCACCAGTTTTTGTCGGGTAAGTTATGATTCTAAGATTTTACTATGCGTTTTATCATTATAATTGTTAAATTACGTAATGTGGTATCGCAGGTGGTTCTTGATTAAATCATATTACTTTGATCTAAGATAAGTCAATATTGTTATAACGTCAATAATGATCATTGTCGTTAAATATGTAAGAGGTACGTTATTTTTATTTTCAGTTCCTGGCACTTTATTTAGTATTTGACCAATCATTGATGTTCACTTAGAAGAAAAATTACAATTAAACAGGTGTCAGTTGTAGGTGTCGCCAGTTAAAATCATTAGGGAGCCCATTATATAAAGTAAAAGTAAAGTAACAGCCACTGCTGGCCAAATGCCTGCTCTGTACACACAGTAGCACAGGTATACGAGCATAGTCCACCACGCATCCCCACTGCGGATAGGTGGACTTCAAATACCTTACAAATATGTTTTTTTTTTAATGCGAATAGTTGTCGAACGAGCAGACGGTTCACCTGATGTTAAGTGAATATTGCCGCCCATGGACATCTGCCACACCAGGGTTACAGATGCGTGTCAACCTTTTGAAAATTGGGCTCCGGCTCCCTAACGGACCAGACGAAAAGCGGAAGTATTTGTCATACTTCCACTTTACGCCGGTCTTGTGTGAGGTCGTGGTACTTACCCGAATGGGCCTGCCTATTCTTGCAACACCCGAGGCTGCTGCGTGGCCCTACCACCGTAGAAAATGTGCAGGCAATGTTTTTTGTTATTATTTCGAAAATGTATAGGCTTCCTCAGGATGTCTTCCTTCATCGCTGCACGTGATAATTCGGCATTTGAAATTGACAATTACATTGGTGCTGGCACCGGGAATTGAACTGAGCTTGCTCGAGTACGTTGAATTAAAAGCGATCAGCGGGACACTGAGCCATCACGATAATCGAGTAGATCTAGTTTAATCAAACTGGAGCCATCGTTGTACAGTTACATTTGTCGAGATTGATCATTCATTGTCTTGCATTCGCGATAATTTTATTTCCACGATCAGAAAAAATCAATTTCGAAACGTCAAGCGAAACTTCGGATGCTATTCGCGAGAGGATAGGACGCAGGATCCCCACGGCACAATTTTCCACGGTAAAGCATAATCTGAATGGTAATGCTGCACCACAGAATCTTGATTTTAGTTGATAGTTGATAGTTGAAGATGTTGCAGTGCGATGATTGCACATAATTTTGTTGTATTTTGTTTTATTCAAGATTACCAAGGATACAAACACTAGTAATAATAAGTTAACGATTTACAAATTTCTTTCCAGCTAACAATTTCCATACTTAAAGTGGAACGCGTCATACAAAAGAGAATCTGAGAGTCTTAAAAATAAAAGTGAAAATAATAAAAAATAATGATAATTTATGTTAGTTGTGCACGACAAAAAAACTAACAAAAACGAGTAAAGTTTATTTTGTTAAATAATAATAATTAAAAGATAAATTAAAGTTGAAAGAGCAATTACTTAAGTTGAAAACAGAGTATTGTATTGTATACAATTACAGCTTCATACTACATTAATGTGATTGGTGTGATCCTTTTAGAAGGCATCTTGCAAAGATGACACTCATACATACACTCATACTCATATATACTCACACGTCGATACGTGTATATAAGTATACGTAGATTGATACAAGTAGTCGTACAGCTTACGTCTTCCTTCTCATTTCTAATTCCAATCATTAAGAAAACTAGTGAAATAATTCGCACTATGTTATGAAACGAATGCTAAATGAAATAGCATATAAAAATGCCGTGAATATAAGCACATTAGTCCACATGTATATAATATACGACCGAAGTATTGGTAAGAAATTAGTTTCAAGTAATAATAAACTTGGAATGGAAAATTCTCTCAGGCGCTCGGTTAAAGCCTGAATCGATTTTCCATACGATTATGGAGGTAGTGTTATATGTAGATGTAGGAGACTAAAACCTTAGTAAGGTATATTGTTTGCATACGTATTATGGCGAAATGAAATTGGGGACATATAGGGCTTATGGCATAGAGCGATATTCCATAGATCAATTATGAAGTAGAGCCTACTTTTGAGTATACGGCCATAGAATGAAATGTTTTGAAACAATACCCAATATTTTATACGTTTATGTGAGATTGAGGCAAGCGAGTATATACTTCATCTGTAATGTCAATTATTACTGCTGTTATAGTTTAAAAATGACTCGACAACCGTCATCCATGGAATGGGATAGACTTTATTGATGATGACCTCCCTAGCCATTAAGTCCATCTTCTAAGCTCATGATAGATCACTCGATCTTCGTGAGCTTCGATCGCTCCCTGGTCATCTAAACTCGAAAAAAATAATTTCTATATGGGCTTAAAAACTTTTTATAATCAGACCTTTTAGACATTCTTCAATATCATTATTTGATATGATGCCTACTCCAGTAAATGCTTATTCCACTATTAACAAGGAAGATTCTTATTTGATATATTAAGACCAACTCGCTACGCTGGTAAATAAGAAATGTACGTAAAGCGCACTAGACGAATACATTTACATATTGCACAATGCCGGGGACCAAATTTCTCCCAGCAAACATTAATCTTCATGTCGCGTTGGGGATGTTGCTGCCTGTTCATGTTTCACTTGCGCCCGTGTATTTAATGTTTGAACAATGAAATGCATGCGTATGCGGTTTGAATTTTATGCTGACATGCATTCCAGCAACTGAATGGTATGCGTATGCTTGGTTGATAAATATGAATACGGGGACAGTAATGAAACGCATCTATGTATCCAGATGCGGTTAACATGATTTCAATTATGAAGTAACCGCCTATACATGTCCCACTGCTGGGCAAAGGCCTCCTCCGTATAGAGGATAATTAGGGCATAGTTCACTACGCGGTCCCACTGCGGATTGGCGAAATAAATGGTTGAAATTATAGTAATGAATGTTGTTCCATAAGTTGGTGGAGGCAAGCGACCGTTAAAAGATAACTGCCGCCCATTGACATTAATTTGCAATACCCGTAGGGTTGCAGATGCGTTGCCATATTTTAATAAACTGGACTCCCATTACCTCACTCGACAGACGAAACGCTCTAGTACATTTGTTCCACTTCACGCTGGTCTTCTGTGAGGTCGTGGTTTTTTCTTGGATGAACTCGCCCATTCGTGCAACAGCGAAGAATGCAATGTGGCCCTACCGCAGTAATTTCAAGTTCTATTGAGGATTATGTGGTACTATACCAGTAAACATAACTTAACTGTTTTTTCTTATATTTCCCAAAATTCTATTGGAAAGATGAGCCAAAGTGACTGAAATTAAAATGAATAAAAAAAAGTAGAGAAAAAAGAGATTTTCACATAAAGCAATGAACTAATGTCTTACTTTGTATTTTTTTGCTTCCGTCTTAGTGATTAATTATTAATTACATAAAGAGCGGTGCATGCAATTTTAAAATTAACCTTAAAAAATTAATTTCTATGAAATATTAAATGTGAATGATGGTTCAAGTGCAACGTTGCTCTTTTTTCCTTGGAATTTAAATTATTTTACTATAAAAAACTTCACTGTGAGTCATTACAGTGAATCGTTTTTAGTTTTTTTATAATGGTATTGACTAGATTGTGTGTTTTAAACTAGGTGAAACTAAACGTAAGTTTACAAAAAAAAAAATGATTGATTCAAAAAGAAGTAATGTCTATATAAATAATATGGCGTGGTCATGCGGTCTATTCCGGTGTTGTCACTCGGAAAAATTTGTCTGTGAGTTGAGATTCTTCAAGGCGAGAGATGTATCTAACCGTGGTCATAACTAACGCGGGTGTCCCAAACAGCGGATACTTTACGTTGTGTAATAGAGATATATCTACGTTCGCGAAACCGCACTTGAGAACATCTGTGACCGAGTTATCCAAGTTGCTAGTATTCGGCCAGCATTTTTCCCGATACACTTTACGAGTAATATCTCGCGCGAAACAAATTTCAAGGCACGCGGCCTTACTACAGCTTGCGCTTACGAGATAAGTTTCTCTGTTATGGATACAGCTAAAGCATTTATTAATACACATTTTATTAGTCTTCTTATTTACAACATACGGTACGATACATAAGGATTTCTTGTAATTACGCGAATGGTACACAAAATGAAACTATCAAATAAATCACGGTGGAGGTTAAATCTGACATTAGGAGGAGAAGTGACATAACCACTGTCGTGTCCGAAATGTCGGGAATTTGAAAGCAAGTTAAAAAAGCGATAAAATCCGTTAAACAGTTTAACGGTTAGTTAGATGTATAAAATTTGCAAAAATTATTTAAAAAAGCTTTATTAAAATACTTCAAGTTTTTCCTGGTTCATTTGTATTGTACATGATTCATGGAATTAGGTGTTAGACGGCCACTGTTTTCGATAAAAGTTATCAAAGGGTTTTAAATGATTATTTTTAATTCGATCTACTCTTAAATTTTAATTGTTAAAACTTAATTGTGTTGGTTAAATCATGCAGGGTTGGAGTTTAACGTTATTTAATTTTTTTTAAATAAATTTATATTCATACACAGAAAACTATTGAAGTTCAATCAAAACCAAATCATCTTTCTCAGGGCAGTAAAGATTAGATTTAAAAATCACTCAGCGAATTCGACAGTTCCAATTTCAGTATCGGTATGATAAATATCCATTGTTATTTTCAATTAATTTCTGATGTGGCATATAGGCATTTTAACCTAGTTATACTTTAATGCAATCAAAACTAAATATTGTCTTTATTTGTTTCAATAATATGAATGATTTATTTTATTTTATTGGGAACAAACAGCTTCAATATAAAAAGATCTGCTGCTTTGAAATAGTAATATTATTGCAGCCAACTACATTATCCTCGTATTGAACATGCAATATTATTTAATGGAAGCTACTAGCTACGTTACAATATGATACAATTTATGTTTACATCACCGGAAAGAATCAACCACAAATATTGGAACAAAAATGATCCCTGTTAAAGTTACAAGTATTAAGTATCGGGTTCCTGCAGGCTAGGATAAAATGTTTATCCAATATGTTTTTACGAGTATCTTGAAAGAAAACAAATTTCATTAAACATCGCCCCAAGATGATGCGTACTTGTGTATGGAAAAAGTTTTCCTCTCAGATAAAAGTTAGCGTGGTTTGCTGTAATCAAATATGTGTTTTGGGATTCGGGCCGCCCATAGATGTTATATTGTTTTGCTTTTATGTCATGTATTACAGACATACTGAGTACTTTTATCGGTAACTACTTCCATTTCTTTATTTTTCCATCGAAAGTTAATTCTCACATATTAAGGCCTAAGACATAATTAAACACAATAAGACATATTGAGGCACAGTTCGAAATTCTGTTTTTAGTTTTCTGTCTGTAGAACATGTCCATTTACGAACAAAAGCAACGTTGAGACAATTTTTTTACCCAAAAACTGGCCAATGTTTGAATGCCACCGCACCAGATGGTAAGGAGAGATGCTATCTTAGATGTTAAACGTTATAGATCAGCTCAAAATTGAAATTAACAATATGATTGGTGCCAGCATCGGAATTTGAACTCGGGTTGCTTGAATACATTGAATTAAATGCATGCGCTCGGCACTGAACTTTGACGGCACTTATCACGAGCTCAACGGTGAAGGAAAGAATCCTGAGGAAACCTGCATATTAACGAAATCAACATCATCGTCATAATTTCAACCTGTTAGGGCCCACTGCTGATCATAGGGTCTATGGCCTCCCCCATAGACCATCATCATTATTTCAGCCTGTCGAAGATATGCCCATAGCTAATCCAAAAATGACGTTTGCAAATTTCTCCATTCCTCGTTTAAAGGCGGGGAATGTCACGAATGTTCAGACCTGTAGCACGTTTAAAATTTGATTCCAGGTCTCCGCTGTAGTGGATGATGTGTATTCGGAGCACTCCCACGTGGCCGGCTCGTTCTCGATGCTGGCCAGCTCCAGGGCCCATGTCGGTGGCTCGTTAAATGCACGTGCCCTACCAGGCGCCAGGGTCCACACGAACTTCATAGGCTGCCTGAAAAAGGTTTCGATGTGTTTGATAAATCGGCAAAGTAACAAGCCATTTCATGAACTAGGTAACAGCAGCATGATGCCTTCCAAGCAGGTTATTGGTTAATATAAATTTGAATTATTTTTGCTATTTTGCTATAGACAACTGCTGTTTCGTGAATGGTCTCAAAGCTCACAATTCTCATGGAAAAATACCACGAACATTCAGAAGATTTGCACGAAAGTAAATTACGTTTTAATGGATACGTGCTCGAGTGTATCAAGATTCAAAGCCACGAAGTAAATTAAATTTATACCAAGTAACAAAGTAAATTAATGTTTTTTTTTATTTTATTCTTATATACTATAAATTGATAAACTTATATATTATAGGTACTTATAATTAAGAAATTGTATTTAGATGAAATATACATATACATAGATATTATACATAGGTGTCATATTAGTAAGGTTGAAGTACATCGATGTAACTATTCACGAGAACTGCTGCCGACAAACTGCATCATAGTTTGGCAGAGAATAATTTATGTTATTGTACTTTATTACTGGATTAACTAAATGAAAAAAAGCGAAAGCTTGTTTTAAAGATATGTAGAAGGGAGAAGCGAGTGTTGATCTATGATATTTTCGCTACACAGGTGGAGTTCTCGGCCGACACGTTGCGGTTGAACCTGATAGACTTGGCGCGAACTGGCAGCAAGCTTATCGCGGTCACCGGACGGCTCGAGTACGCCTGCACTGCGACGGACTCTGCCGACCCCGTCACGTTCAGTACGCGGGATGCACATTTGGTAAGTGTTTTTTAAGTCCGCCGAAGTATACCGATAAGTATGTCGATCGAAAATGTAACCGAATATATTCTTAGCCGTTTAGAAAGAAAACAAGTCTTCAACGGGAAATGTCAGTTAACAGGCTAATAGAGCTGTTTATGTCCATTACACTCAAAGATTCCATCGGATCAATGGTTTCAGAAATGACCCAATAAATAAAAACGAACAGACAGATCTTTATACTATTACTAATAGTGTAAAGATTTCTGTCAGTTGTAGGTCTTATACGATATCGAAATTTTCAAACTGTTTGGGGGAGGGGGTTTAAATAGTCAAAAACTACCCTGCCTCTCTCTACATGTAGGGGTTCTTGTCCACGAAAACCCTTGGTGAGCAACCTCTGTAACGTTATTATCGTTTTCGGCCACAATACACTGTATACGAGTAATATATGTGCCAGCCTCTAAAACCCTCTGCCTTTAGTAATCTCTTATATATCGTATATCGTACGTTTACTTCGTGCAAGTCTTTTATGGGGATTCACGCATCGAATGAAATGAAATTTCATCTTTAATCGAATAACCGAAGTGGCTTTGAGTCGATTGCACTCGACGATGTCTATTGGGTTGGAGTTTCAATAGTTGACCGGTTTAAAATGGATAGAAAGCACTTTAAGTACATTGCTGGAAATCAGAGCGGTTTTTTTTAAATTCAAATAACCGCGAGTTGCACAGTTTTTCTGCTACATAGAGGTAAAGTAATAGCCTATATATGTCGCACCACTGATCAAAGGCCTCCTCAGTACAGATGGTATTATGGCATAGTCAGCACGCCTTGTTGTGAATATCTTCGATATCTTTTCCTTTAATTATTATTTCGAAGATATGCAGGTTTACTGACGATGATTTCCTTCACAGCTGATAAGTGAGCACTTAAAATTCATTGCTGCCGGTACCTGGATTTGTAATTTTGTAATTGGAATTTTACTCAAACATCTACTGGAAACTCGGTTAACCATTTCCTTACTAATATACTACGCTAATTATAATACCCCGATGGCGGTTCAATTGGCGACACAAAACTTCGATTCCTCTGAACGAAAAAAATTACACGCAAATTGGTTCAAACGAGGTCACGTTCGGCGGGATGGACGTTTCGTTATGAAAATTTGAATTTACGACATCGAGGAAGTTGGCCGGTAAGTCACTTTGAAGCGCGATAAATCATCCAAGCCGACGCCTAGGAATTTTCCGGCTTTCGTGGGGCGTTAGCGAAATTACCGTAATCACTGCTGGCTCACGTACAGAACTGATTTCAGTGCGTGATAAGAGAGTTTTAAGAAGTAATCGCTTCGCAGCTATGCTTTACGTCGGTCGGCCGATAAATGATTATTATGATTATGAAGCTTGTGATATATTTAAAGAAGTTTTAAGTTGGGTCTGAAGGCGGGTTATTATAGCCGAGTATTGACAAGAAAAAACTGAGTGCATGTGATTTCTCCATCATCATTAATATGTTGTTATGGATACCTCTTGAACTCATAATATTTTTGAACACAAACTGGCATTGTTGATGTATATACTTAAGTACAGTAAGCGATAATATTCTCTTTGTAAATCACTACAGACCGATAAGACTTAAAATATTTACACTCATTCAAAAGAGGCGTGACAGCTCAAAATTTCTTTTATTCTTTATAAATAAAAATAGTTTGAACATATGAACAGGCTACATTGCGAACTCTTTCCAAATACCTTTTGCATGAGGAATCTTACTTGGAAAGAGTCTGTGTTCCTTTGCGAGGATTTTTGGTTTGTCAAATTTTATGCAGATGTTTTTTAAACGGCTATGATTTACATCAGCTGTCTGTTCGTTGATGCATTTTATTTAGCTCTTTAGTTTTCCCACTGTAACTAACTACATAAGTGTGTAAGACTACATTTACAGTCCAATTTCGATGCACTTTGATCTTATTAATATGTTGCACTTGGCGGAATAACTGACTAATCTTCTATCATCAGTGTGGGACGACCCCCCACTAGATGGTGTGACGACCTGTGCAAATGTGCGGGAAGTCGATGGATGCAGGTGGCTCAGGATTGTACTTCGTGGCAGTCTATGAGGGAGGCCTGTGTTCAGCAATGGACTCAAATAGGCTGAAATGATGATGATGATGATGAATATCGTCTGAGACTCTCCTTAATATGATAATACAGAAGGTTTGTTTCATTCTCGTTTAACTGGGCATCACGTCACTCGTTCATGTGACGTAGAAATTTTTTATATGGAACTCGCCAGCACTTGACTGCTGATATCCCACCTCATGGTAAGTGCCGATGCAGCTGTTGATGGTAAGCGTGCTAGGTCAGTATAGCCGTGGAATTTGTTGCCTGCAGGACTTACATGACATTCAGTAGCCAAGTGTCACAGATCCAGTAAGTCCTTGTTTTAGATAGCACGAGGCTATCTAAAACAAAGGTTTACTCACGGTAGCCAAAGGATAATGAATAATGTGTAGTATTCGAGTACACGCAAGAAGTTATAAGGAAATCTGATATTTTATAGCCCAAAGCAACGTCATTTCGCGTTTCAAATCGTTTATCGTTTTAGAGTTTAGCGTGAATGGGTATCAGGGCATTGCTGGGTTAACAGCCTATAATTTGAATGTAGCTCGTATAAGCCACTCAAATTTAGCCTTCGCAATTCATTCGTTTATAAGGTACAATTTAAAACGATTGCGGCGAAACTGAAACGTTTACGTTTGTTTTTGGTTCAATGAAATATACGCATATATATGAGTAGTCAATATTTCATGGTTCTAACATTTTTGGTTGCTTTTTTTAATATAGGCATCGGTATTCTCGTGTTTAATTATTCGTGGATCATTAATATTGAGCCCAGGTCAAATCATGAAGCGTATCTGACTACCCAATGGAGCAGGTGGTCGCAGATCTCTTCATGACTGTTTTTGCTTTGTAAGTCGATTCAAAGAGATGTCAAACTATTCATACTAAAGAATTGACATATGAATAAAAGAGTTAATAAAACGATGTGGATTAACTCTTATCAATTTCTTGAGAATCTGATAATCATGGACAAGTTTAGTATCTACCAGCTTGGAATAAATTGAAACCGACTATTAAAGCGACTATCAACAATAATTAAGTAATAAACTAGGTGAAATGTTTCCTTAATCTTAGACTAATGACCTTGCCAAGGGCAAAGGCCAATGAACTGACAAGGTGGATTTGACTTTAATTTATTTTCTGAATGGTTTTAATGGTAGGCCCGAGCATGATACGGATATAATTATGGCGTGGCTCGAAAAGTTATTCTTAAGCATTTTTATGGTAGCATTTTCAGAATTTCTTCGCCTTCGTGAGAATACTAATAGCATTTAAGTACATGGGTACGTAAACCTCATTAATCTAGTGACAAAATGTCTAATAAAATATTTCAAAAACAGGGAAAAACAAGAACAAAAAAAATATTAATTTTTAATTTGCTTCCTTTAAAAACACTGCCCTTACTGCTCGATAACATTATACTGTATTCACGTCCATAGATTAATTTAACTGTGGTAGGGTACACTCGTAACAGGCACGAATGGGCAGGTCCATCTGGTGAAGTACCATGACCTAATAGAATACCAGCGTATAATGTGTTATAAATTTGCGTTTCGTCTGCTAAGCGAGGTGAGCGGAGGCCCACTTCATTAAAAGGTGGCAACACATTTGCAACACTACGGGTGTTGCAAATGTCCATAGGCGGTGGTTATCACTTAACACGAGGTGAACCGTCAGCTCTCTTGTCGCCTTCTCGCACAAAAGATAAAAAAAATTAAGATCGGCGTGCACTTAATGATCCATCGGTTCCAGATTCTGCCGAAATGGGAAGCCGTGAAGACGGGAACGATCTCGTTCAAGTTCCGAACAAACGAACCGAACGGTTTGATACTGTTCAACATGGGCGCGAAGCCACCAAGGGTAGGTTGCACGGTAAGGGGTGAAGCTTTTGGGGTTGAACCGAAACTATTAAAAGAGAGACCATGATCATCTAACGTCGAAACGGTTGTCATCGCAGTTCCCATGTTCATCGGTAAACTAACGAATGAAATAGTATAGGAGATTGTCTCTTTAATTTTATTTAATTAAGGAATGTTGTGTGATGTCTAAATGATTAAGACTGAATGAAATCGTATCGTAAAGAATATCCATGCAGAGTACACAGATACGTAACAAACAGATTGAGTTTATGATGAGACAAACTAATTTGTCAAGAATACTTTATTAATTATAGTTTAGTAATTTCTTCATTTATTACACTATACTGGAGTCAAAGGCGTACAAATTAGTTTATGCCGTTGTAGATAAATCCAGGATTTTTAAAAAAAAGTCAACATAACATTCCTTAATATGACTCAAAAATATGAATAAGATAATCTCCTATGGTTTAAACGGTGGATAAATGGTTTAAACATATTACATTTTTTAATTTTTTTTTCTTTGATTAACATAAAATATGGACTAAGCACATGATATTGTCTTTTTAACACAAATATTTTGCGAATTGTGTTTTTTTTTTCGATTTCGCGAATATTTTGCAGCATGTATTGTCATCGAAAAGATCAGTGCTTACTAAAATATGTATTATTACATATTAGTAGTAATCATTGGTGTTTCCAATTATCTGCCGTTTACCCTGCATGGTACGTGATGTAGGGCCGATCCATCCATTACCCGAGAGATGCGTAATTCACAAGAATTAGGGGAATTTGTGTATGGTACCTTATAAAGTTTCACCCACTTTGAATTGTCAAGTGTTTTGTGTTTGTACGTATCGATGTGCACTGTAGTACCCTCGCACAGATGGAAAATCCAACGGTCCCCGCACCTGAATACGTTAGGAGCAACAGTTGATTGAAGACAGACGGAAATTATCACTGAACTCAAGCTTATAGTTGGGCTTTATTATTACCTACACAAATTCACGACAAGTATATTTTGTTCCGTTCGTAAACATCTGTGATGAAATATAGATGTTCATTTAGTTTTTTTTCCGCTATCGATATTTAAACGATCTGATAGGATTATAGAATTTTCGTTTACTTATTTATTTCCTTTCGCAGAGGTAGAATTTACAGTTATTTTTCTAAAAGCGTACGCGAAAATATTTAATAATATAATATTTTATTCTTTTAGAAGTTTTAAAGCTTTTATTGGATATATGTTTGATATTACTTTGACCTTCCTTACATTGAATTGCCGTTGTGTATATTCTTGTTTGTTTTTTGTGTTTGGATGTTAGTGCACTCTCCGAAATAAACTGATCTACATATATATGCTATGCATAGATATCTGCACTTTTTTTCTAATATTGCACGCGGAAACATTTCTTTTCGAAGTTTAAAAGCTTTTATTGGATTTAAATGTTTGGTTTTCCGTTGATCTTCCCCAATTTGAATGGCTGTTGTGTTTTTTCCTTGTTTTTTCTGTGTTTGTGTTTGGCTATGCACTTACACGTAGTATTTTGTGATTTTAAGATGTTGTAGAAACCCCATACAGCTTCTATACTTGGGAGACGTAGCAAGAGCATCCAAGTTCATCTAACCCTACCCAATTAATTGACTGATCGTCTTGAATAATGTTCTTCCTCTTGTATTTAGATTTCGATGTTGTCCCTTAGATGCAAATTACTAAATTTATTCACGTATTAAGCAAGTAACAAGGGTTGGAGTCTTGGAATCGTTGTGTTCCAGGCGGATTTGTTCGCCGTGGAGATGCTGAACGGTTATATTTACGTGCACGTGGACCTTGGGTCTGGTGGAGTGAGGGTGAGGGCCTCAAGACGGAGAGTTGACGATTCCCACTGGCACGAGTTCCTATTAAGGAGGACCGGGAGGGATGGGAGAGTCACTGTCGATGGGGCAAATGCAGAATTTAAAACACCCGGTGAGTTGAATTGTTTTTTTTTTATAGAAAAAAGGGGGCAAAAGTGATCATAGCCACCCATGAATCTGCAACACCGGAGGACTTGTTTTTCAAGTTGCCGGCGTTGCCGGATTTTTAGGAAAGAACATGCTCACTTTTTGAAGGTACTCAGGCCGTAACGGTTTGGAAAATTAAAACATATGAATCAGCTTAATTATGCGGCTGTATTAGATGTTATCGTTGAATAAGTATAACTTTGTCGGTTTGAAACTCGGAGACGTGCGTGTGAACGAATAAATCCCATTCTTGTATTCAGTGTGCAAGTCAAATAACTTTTTCGATGCCTTCTTTCGTAGCTAATAATCTGTATGTTGTCTAAGTTAATAGTAACTACGATATTTCTCAACCTGTAATAAATGGTCTGTTGACACAAACATTTTTGTTATTTGTGAAATTTATGGAAATATTAATTCGGACAATCTTTAAATCAGTACAATATTTAGAGTAAACATATATATTAGGTCATATAGTTACTAGGCAATTCTTCTTGTACGGTCTTAAATCGGAAAACTGATTTTGATATTGATAAGTTTTTATGAAAGGAAAAATTTTATTTTGAAAAATGGGACATAAAATTCCAGGAGAGTCGAACCAGTTGGAGCTGGATGGCCCTCTGTTCGTCGGCGGCCTGGGCTCCGAGTACTCGGCGTCAAGGACCCCGCCGGCTCTGTGGACGGCGGCCCTGAGGCAAGGGTTCGTGGGATGCATCCGGGATCTTGTCCTTAACGGGAAGCCCCAGGACCTGACAGCGTACGCGCGTCAACAGGACTCAGGTGAGTTTATTTTTTGTTCGCCGGCGTTATTATAATAAACAAAACACTTTCAACTAACTTTTCTGTCTGAGGATTGCTCTTGCGTTCATCACCTGGAAATATTACGACTAGTAGTTCCGTAAAGAGTAAAAAACTCTAGTTGTTTTAATCTAGCGATAATGATGTGATGAATTGCAATACTTTAAGTATCTATTTTATAAAGTCTTCTATTAAACTATAGACTGGAAACAATTGTTGATGTCTAGTAATGACATTAGTGTGTTTCGTGGTGATTTGATGGATATTTTGAGTTTTTATTTCGGATGGAATGTAGTGAGATGGCTGCACAAGTATGATTCCTAGCTAGATGGTGGTTTTAACTAGGTTCTCTAAAGTTTACTTAGAAAACCAAACCTTTGTGAAGTCAAACAGCATTGCTCTCTTCATGAAGGTATGATTTACAGCCTCCGTTCGTGCCGCTTGCCACGTATTGATGAAGCAGTGCGTGAGCTCGCCCTGTCAGCACGGGGGACTCTGCTCCGAAGGCTGGAATCGCCCGCTCTGCGACTGTTCGGCCACCAACTACGGCGGCCCCACGTGCGGACGAGGTAACCTAAGTAGCCTCCCAAGATGTAGATAGCCTTGTAGATGTCCATTGGTGGCGGTGATCACTAAACACCCCGCGAACTACCGCAAACTAGTGCCAAATAGTGATTGCACTTACTGAGTGAGTACTGAAATTCCATCAGTGACCACTTCAACGTATGGGATTCGAAGGAATTATAAATTAAGAGGAACTATAGTCATGCGACTTCTAAATTTAAAAAAAAAAAAAAAAAAAAAAAAAAAAAAAAAAAAATTCACCCTCAGTCACCGAGAGTACTGTCTTTTGATGACTTCCACTACCGAAAATTACACTACTGCATCAACGCTCACTATTAATTACGGTAGTAAAATCAAATTGTTTGGGTATAATTTTAATAGATAAATTGTCGAATCATTTTTCGCTGTTAAGAAATTCTAACGCTTTAGCCAACTGACGCAAGCGGACGATATACTCGCGTGGAGAAAATCTCAATAACTACATTTTATTTTGCATTTTTGTAAATGTTGGTCTCCATTTTGTATGACCATTGATATGCCAACACCCCCACGACGAGGCTTGAACTTGAACGAGGCTGTCTTGCTATCGAAATTATTGTTATATTTGTATAATTGTTTTGTGCTAGACAAAACTCAAGATGATACTTAAAATGAGGTTTTGATAGATGAATTATCGAAAATTTTTCGGCACTGGCGAATTCGTGCTTAAATCTTTTCTGTAACACGCCTTTTTTTGGTATCCGGGGAGAAATCTTCATAAGATACCCCGTCACTCTACATGACAGGCTATGTGGGATTCTTACCCACTAAAACCCTATTGGTGGCCACCTTCTGTACGTTTGGAGGGACTCCGGGATGTCCTGCGGAACGCATCGGTGTCCCTCGGTACTACCTTCACCATCTTGCAGCAGCTCAAGACCATTTCGTACTGCTGACAGTCAGTGTCCCCTTTTAGTCGCCTTTTACAACAGGCAGGGGATACCTTAGCCCTATTTTACGAATTCGGGATTACGGGGGCTGTGGGTAATGCGCCTAGACACTATTTATTGGGCAAAATTTTCAATCAACCCGACGGCCAGATGCTTTGTACTGGAGAAAATTTCCAATCGACCCTCACCGCCCGGCAGAATCACCAACCATCCAGCTGAACGGCAGTCAGCACTTGACCGCGCCGTTGGGCCCAGAACACGTGACGCAGACAGAGGAGCTGATGCTGCGTTTCCGCACCAGTCGCGCTGGCCTCCTCCTGCGAACAGCCTCCGAGCATTCGGCGGATCGAATAGAACTGGCCGTGGCGGCGGGCAGGGTGCGCGCTAGCGTCCGCCTCGGCGATAGGGAAAAGGTACATAAATAATATATTTCAATTCAAATTCAAATGTCTTTATTCAACATGAAAAGACTACCATGCACCGGTTAGGAAAATAAAAGCCATTGGCCTGAGAAGAACCGGCGAAAGAAACTCAGCGAAATTAAGCGTGCTCTGCTGAATTCCGTTGAGTTTCTTTCGCCGGTAAATAAGGTGCTATTTAAAAAAAGAAGAAATTTTTTCTTGTAAAAAATACATATTATTGATATATAAAAATGTAGGTTTCAACAATTTAATTCATTCTTGGAATAAACATATTTACAGTGTTATGATTGGATTTTTTTTTCCACGAACATCTTATTCTGCCTTAAATCTTTTTTTTGTAAACCATCCTCTTCTGGTTTAACACGATTAAAATTGTACTTTTGTTCAACACGATTATGGTTGTACTCAAAACATTTCGTCATTTTTTTCGAAAAAATTTGACGTTTCACCTTAAGGGCAGAGACTAGCACTATGATAGTTTGAACCTATCGTGAACTAGATTCTGTTTCGTCGCAGAATCTGCTGGCGGGTTCGAACGTGGCCGACGACGCGTGGCACACGGTTCGATTCTCGCGTCGCGCCTCCAACCTAAAGCTGCAGGTAGACGGGGGGCCGGCCGTGCGCGGTACGTTGTGTACGTATGCACGGGTACGCACCCGCACCACCTTTTCGTTTGAACCTTGCCCCAGTGGAGATAAGGTTGGTTTTGGCGGAGCTTCAGCTGTGACGTTGTAAACTGAACAGGCTCTAAAATAATAAACTATTCTTTGTTAAACTGACTTCACAATTATGAGTTCGAAAACTAGTTTTACAGATTTATCGATCGATTTATTTCATTTTTATTTTAATTCTTGTCGCTTCGAACCCTTTACAGCGTTCACGGTCACGGAACGTGTTATCGCGTTAATACAGGAAGTTATGATTACTTAACAATTGTTATTTACAAAGGAAAAACATTTAATTGCTTTAATCACCACATATTTATATCACCTAAGAGTTAAAAGTTTTAACATCAGATGATAGTTTTCAAATATGTTTTTAAAATAACTAAATAGGTTAACCATATAACCTCAATTACTTAAAAAATATGAATGAGCTATTTCTAGAAATTTTATTATATTTAACTTAGTCATTATCTGAAGCGAAGTCAAATGTAGAATTAAGTACTCGAAATATTCTCCGTCAATTAAGTCGGTGAATATTAGTGTCCTGTTAGTTGTAGTATAGTCGCTTGTTTTCAGTTTGTTTTCTAGCTGGCACTTTGTATCTTCACCCTTCATTTGTGAAACGCTTTCATTTCTTACTTTGTTTGTTTTTTTCTTCCCGTAGAGCCTTTCGTGAATGTGCAACTTCTATAAGTGTGTTGCCATAATCTGTTGTCTTTTACGGTGTAGTTATGAATCTAATATGACAAATTTTATTCAGTGAACGAAAGCCAAGAAAATATAGCAGGTTATGAAATATAAACTAAGAAAACGCATCAAACAGGAAGAGAGTTAAAAACTTGCGTATAAACGTATGATACAATAAATGGATACAAAATTTTACGGTTTATTTTTAAGGTTCTGTGTCATTTATTATCAAAAAAATATTGATTTATTTAAGGCTCTTCCTTTTGTTGATGCTATTTGTGAGATTTCTAATGATACCAAGGCCATTGTAGAGTGGTGGCTCAGTGGCCAAGTTTGAACCTAAATTATGTTATAAACCTGAAGTCGATAGCCATGACCGATATTCAGGAATCATACAGAGATTCTTAATTGTAATGTATGAAGGTACTCGGACATGGCCAAATTAAAATATATTTTTGTAACAATATTAAAAAGAATGAAATTAATGTGTCTAGGAAAATTAAGTCATGATATTACAGATCATAGATTGATTGTAACTCAGTCGTAATACAGGCAAATGTTTTCCGACTTTACAGCAGCTTTTTCAACAGATAGAATTTTATGATAATAATATTCGTAATTTAAATTTTTAATGCGCCAATCTCCGCACTTATTATGAAAGATTCAAATTTGTGGGGAAAATGCACTAAGACCTTTACATACTCGTAGAATACTCGTTCATAATAATGTGTCTATATAACATTTTTTATTTATCATTTAGATTACTGGGACGTTTGTAAAAGACACGTAACTTTAATTGACAACTATGGTAAATGGACGTGGAGTCATTGGTAAAATATTTTCTGCAAAACTATATCGCTTACTGGTGCTAATCGGTAACTATACGACTGTGATATGAATGGAGCTACTAAACTGTTGCTAACTATCTTTCAGGCTTGACTCTGTTGTATGATACCTTCTCGCTAATGTCGTAATAATGTACATAATTGGCTGAGACCTAACTAATGAGGAGACCAATCGAGTGTTTTCGTTGCTAATTTCTTTTAATTTCTAAGTCAATGTTGTGGTTCGATGTGTCTACTTTTAGGGGGGCAATCCTGTCATTTATTACGGATTGTTTTCCAGCCGAAACTATTCTGGGTAAGGCGTCCACTCTAGAAATATCCACGCTGCATCTGGGCGGGCTCTTCCACCCAGAGGAGGAGATCCAGATGACTTCGACGCTTCCCAACTTCGTCGGGTACCTGCAGAAGTTCGTCTTCAACGGGATCAAGTACATCGACCTGGCCAAAAGCCTCGGCGTCGGCAGCACCGACGAGAGCAACAACGTCTACGATGCCACCAACATGATATTCAACGGGAGATTCGTCAAGCCGGACTCCCTAAACGTGTACAAGTCCGTGACCTTCAAATCGAAGCACACTTTCGTCGGTCTGCCGCTGTTAAAGGCCTACGCCAACACCTACTTGGACTTCTACTTCCGTACAACAGAAATGGACGGCCTTTTGTTCTACAACGGCGGTAAGAAGCAGGACTTCATAGCGGTGGAGCTGGTGAACGGTCACATCCACTGCGTGTTCAATCTCGGTGACGGCGTGGTGACCATGAAGGACAAGCTGAAGGGATTCTTGAATGACAATAGGTGGCATACAGTGTCCATAAGGAGGCCCACACCGAAGATACACACGCTGCAGGTAGATGACGACCTGGAAATGCACACCACTAGTAAGTGTTCATCTAAACTATTTCTACTGTTTCATATTAGATCCTCATAATGGTTTCAGCTATCGCACAAACAGCTTTATTGGGAAAGTACCAGAGTTTTACAGGAGTCTGGGACGAAATACTTATATTTTTGTAATTCGTCAGCTGAATGAGGTAACTCGAGATCCAACTCTTTAAAAAAAATAGCAATGCATAGATGGGCATGGGTGGTGTTGAACCACCCGTTAATATGTGAAGCATTGCCACTGGCGACTGGGACTTTGTAGTTAAAGGAAGGATCTATTAGGTTTTTCACAATTTACAGATTATTAATTTTCGAACTTTTCAAAAGTAGCTTGATAAAATTTTGATGTATAATTTATTATATATAATAATATTATTTCGAAAATCGTATGGAACAGAAATATTATGGAATGCAAATACACATTTGTCACCTGAAACAATGAATAAATACCCTCTTCACTTTTGACGACCCCCTCCCTTGATAACCCAATATGCGTAGTGACCCTGTCTCTTGCGCCAGTGGACAGTTATGGGTTCGATTCCCACTACTGGAAAATATTGTGCGATGAACATAGTGTTTTTCCAGTGTCCGAATGTTTATATATATATATATATATATAATATGTATTTAAATGCAAAAGAAAAGTATATTTAAGTATGTCGTATCAGTTATTTAGTACCCATAGCGCCAGCGTTCCTTAGTTTGGGACTAGAGAGCGTTGTGTAAAAATGTGCCCTGAAATATTTACTTATTTATAAATACACGCGTAGAGTTGTGATAGCTCATGGTCCGGACGCTCGCTTTTAAATCCACATACTCGGGCCACCTTAAATATACCACTGGTGCCGAAACCAATAACATTGTTGATTTTAAGTGCTAAACTATTACGTACTCAGCAGTGAAGGAAAACGTCGTGAGAAAAAAAGTATTTCGAACGTTAAGTCCGCCAATCCGTAGTGGGGTTCTGTGGTGGGTTATCACAATAGCCTTTGTACGGAAGAGGCCATTGCTCAGCGGTGGGACTTTACCCTGAGCGGTCTTAGGCTCGGGGCTGATGCTGGAGCTGGAGGGCGTGCTGTATGTGGGCGGCGTGCCGCGCGAGGCGTACGGCGCGCTGCCGGTGGGCGTGGCGGCGCGCCAGGGCTTCGAGGGCTGCCTCGCCAGCCTCGACCTGCCCGGTGACTCGCCCTCGCTGCTCGACGACGCCGTCGTCCCCAGCTCCTCGCTCGTCTCCGGCTGCGAGGGTGGGCAATTTCGATCGTACCCTTACTTTCTCCTCGTTATAATTGTTCTTTTCTTCATCTACCTCATTCTAATGTTATTTTATGAATAAAACACGGGCAAGAGGTCTTGTCTTCTCCCCTTCTCTCTCTCTCTCTCTCTTTATCTCTCCCTTTCTTTTCTATTTTTCCCTTTGCTAACTATTAACCAGTTGTCAGTTTTTAATTATACGTTTCATCAGAATTTAAAGTTGACTCATGTCTTGTTGCACCAAAACTGTAATTTTCTGATATTTACATTTGATTCAATTATCAATCGGACAGACCCTAGACCCAATTTTCTATCTGAAAATTTATTACACTCTTTTAACCAAGACGCGAAGTAATTTTGACAGTGAAACTGAACCATGTTTAAGTTTGTTATACTCAGTGATGTTCAGTTGCATCGAAAGCAATGCCCAAATATTTTCAGGTCCAACGAAGTGTACGCACAACGCGTGCGCCAACAAGGGCGTGTGTGTGCAGCAGTGGAATACGTACGTCTGCGACTGTGATCTCACATCCTTCACTGGCCCCACCTGCTACGACGGTGAGCAGCATAAATACGTCTTTTGCGACTTTCAAGATGAATGAATTACTTGGAACGAATCGCACAACACGTTTCATTTACGAACATTGACTGTTATTGGCGATCCGACTGGCGTGGACAGTGTACCTGTATCCCGCGCCAGAGGGTTTGTTGCCCACTACTGGAATAATATTGTGTGATTGATGATTAATATTGGTGTATACCTTATACATCAAAACAAGACAAAGGCTATAATTGATATATATATATATATGTATATCATCTGTCTTTCTGTCTGAATGTACGCCTTCAGCCTATTCTACGCAGACGTAGTCGCGGGCAGCAGCTAGCATTGAATAAAGGAATGTTGACTTTGACTTTGACATTGGCCGAAACTAAAACCGTAACAACCGCGCAGAGTCGATCGCGTACGAGTTCGGCGCCGGGCGGGGCGCGCTGGTGCACACGCTAGCGGCGGCGGCGCGCGCCGACAGCGAAGCCGACCGGCTCGCGCTGGGCTTCCTCACCAGCAAGCCGGACGCCGTGCTGCTGCGGGTCGACTCCTCAAACACGCAGGACTACATGCAGATGGAGATCGTGAGTCGCTTGGACTGTTGACATTTGACGAGTTCGCGACGCGGTTCCCAAGGTACTCGGGAGCGGACGTCGTGGGTTGACTGTTTGACGTTTGATAGCTTGACGCTGCTACCGAGGTATTGGCTTCGGGGAGGGGGTCGTGGGTCCGATTCTCACACTTTCCACACGTGTCAACTATCTATTTTGTAATCCGTTGATAATTTCGGATCTGGGTGCTTTTTTATGTGAAAAATTGTCAAGCGAGCAAACGATTCACCTAATGTTAAGTAATCACCGCCGCCAGCATCTGATACACCCATAGGTTTGTATTTGACCAACCTTTTAAAAAGCGGGCTCCGGCAACCTCGCTCGTCGGACGAAACGCGAAAGTATTTTACTACTACTTCACTCCCGTTTATTGTGAGGTCGTGCTACTTCTTCGGACGAACCTGCCCGTTGACAGAACAGACAGAAAAAGCAGTCGCGCGGCCCTACCATAGTTCGTGACCGAAAACACTACAGGACCGGTGGTAGCGTTTTGGCAATCAAATACAAGTGTTATGCCTTCATATTCAATAAAGATATTTGAATTTGGATTTGGATTAACGTGTCTTAGATCCGCTCGTAAGTTATGCTTGGCGAACGGATTGCCGTCTCGCAGATCCGCTAGTGAATTACGCTTAGCGAACGGATCAATGTCCATCAGATCCGCTCGTAAGCTAAGTGTAGTAAACGGATCAACGTTGCGCAGATTCGAGGCAATCTGTTCGTGCTCAGATCCGCGCGTAAGCTAATTGTAGCAAACGGATCAACGTCTCTAGGATCCGCGACAACCTGTTCGTGCTCGGATCCGCTCGTAAGCTAAGTGAATCAAACGGATCAACGTCTCGCAGATCCGCTCGTAAGTTGCTGTTAGTGAACGTATTAACGTCTCGCAGATCCGCGGCAACCTGTTCGTGCTCAGATCCACTCGTAAGCTAAATATAGTAAACGGATCGATCTCTCGCAGATCCGCTCGTAAGTTACGCTTAGCGAACGTACTGACGTTCACCAGATCCGCGGCAACCTGTTCGTGGTGTACAACGTGGGCGGCGGCGACCAGCCGCTGGGCGACGAGGCAGCGCGCGTCGACGACGGCGCCTATCACGTGGCGCGCTTCACGAGGAACGGCAGCCGCGCCGCGCTGCAGCTGGACTCGTACGCGGTCAACATACGCCAGCCGCAGGGTGAGGCTGCTACGCTCACATTAGTTTATTCGGGTTCCTTCCCCAAAGGCTACCGAACCCTAATAAATCGACATTGAAAATGACTGATAAACCAACAAATAGTTACGTTTGAAACAGAGTTCGGCTGACCCGTTAAACATTAAGCATGAAATGTTTTTTTCTTTTTATGTGTTTTATGCTACTTTAATACTGTAATGTTATTAACTAATAAGACATAGTTAAAATTTTCAAATGATCACATTTGAAAATCTAAAATTTTCCTGTGGTTCTGTTCATGGTATATTTTTTGAATTTTCATACTCCTTTATTTCGGTTTATTTACTTTATTGTTATAATAATAAGAAACAATAATTGATTTTTATCACATTTTTCCGGAACTTAATCCGATATAAATTATTTTATTTAACTTCAGTCCGTTTTGCCTTTAGGGGGTCAGCAATCGACGATATTTAACAGCATGTCGACAATAACCGTGGGGGGCGGGGCGGGAGGGTCGAGGCCCTTCAGTGGCGTCATAGCCGGCTTGGTGGTGAACGGCATCAGGGTGCTGGACCTGGCCGCGGCCGGTGACCCCTCCGTCACGTTGCGCGGCGACGTGAGGAGGGCTCACACGCCGCTGGACAGAGACATAAACAGAATGCAGCAGGTAAGTCCCTGGACAACAGATTGTTTTACATGCGTTGAACCTGTTAAAAAAGCCTTCATGGGGCAGATTGAAGACCATGAACGCTGGAAACGGTTCGAAACGTCGCGAATTAAAAATCAAATTAATATTAAAAACGCGATTTTTATTTTGATTTTATTAGAGCTACCGCTCGCTTGCCACCTTCTTGCATAAAAAATGCAGAGCTTTGATACAAAAGCCGTCCTCTGCAGACACCGCCGTCGGGCTACGGCGGCGCGCCGGACGAGCTGGTCTACTCGGGCGCGGGGTCCGGCTGCCGCGACGACGACGAGGACGCGTGCGTGCTGCCCGACGCGGGCTCCGGCGACGACCTCATCACGCCCGTCTACGTGCCCGCCACGCGCCGTCCGCCCACCAAGCTGCGCAAGGTGAGAGCTACGCTAAGACTACGTGGACGCTACACCGACGCTACGTCGACACCAAGCCGACGCTACGGCGACGATATCCCGACGCCACGACGGTAGCCCTACGCGTCGGCTCAGCTTTTTATTTGAAGAGTATGCTTCCCCCCCGATCCATTGGATAAAGTATCATAAAGGATTCCCACATTAAAAGAAACCAACACCGTGCCAGGGGGGATCCATAAAGAATTTGTCCCATGTTAAAAAAGGGCTTTACCAAACAAATCACTATGGTATAATCACAGCTTCTGCTGTTGCATGAATGAGCATGCAGGATATCACGGCCCCGCAGAAGACCAGAGAAGTGGAAGTTATAATTCTTTAGCATTTCGTATGCTGAATGAGGCAACCGGGCCCACTTTATTAAAAGATGGCAATCTTATATTAAAACATGGGAACGCATCTGCCATACGGGTCCTGAGAATGTTCATGGGCGGTGGTTGTCACGTAACATCGGGTGAACCGCCAGCTTGCTTGCCACCATATTACATGAGAAATAGGGCAACGCATCGGCTTCTTCTGTTTCACGAACGGGTAGACCACGGCTTCACAAGAGACCAGCGTGAAGTGGAAGTGTTGAACTCTCGCAAAGGTTTTCTACGCATCTGCAGGTGATGTCCATTGGCGGTGGTATCCACTTAAGATTAGGTAGAAAAACAGGCCAGCTGATATTGTAGCAGCATTGCTTTGTAACCTAGAATAATCGAATGACGATATCTATCGGTTTAGTTATAGCTTTTAAAATAATTACACGTTCGTTTCGTCTTCCTGATTTGCTCGGTAAAATTTGAAATAATAAAGTTATTGTTTCAATATCGCGAAGTAAGTTATCGCACCTCCACCGCTGAATGAGGGAGCGGCTGGTTAATGGGCTAGTCAGGTTCTGAATGGGTTAGCCACATAAAAAGGCACGTTCCACCTTTCTTTTGCGAAGCCTGACGAGATTTTACCATTCTAAAACCTCCGTTACTCAGGGCATTCGGTACAGCCGTATGGTACATGACTGAGGAAGACGCAATATTCCATTATTACCCCTATCCAATCGTATTTCTGACCTTGATTGGCATCTTTATTTTATTGACAGGGTGATCATAGCGGCAAGCTGATGAAGCCATGCGACGACGAGGACTGTATTGAAGGGTCAGGATCAAGCGGCGAAGATATCACGGAGCCTGAACAACCTACGACTACGTAAGTCTACATTCGTTAGACCTGTACATAACGAGTTTAATAATGCATATAAAGATGGTGTTGAAGCGACAAAAGTGTGAAGACGCGACCTCACTCGCACTCTCCGCGTAAGCAGAAACTGTTGGCCCTTCAGATGGAGTTAAGCAGAACCAAGGTGAAACGAGTCTGTCAATGGAGATTTAGGGCTTCGAACTTATATAATAAATAACTGTACATCGTTTGGATACGGATTTAATGGAAGTGAGACTGAAGAGATACCGCCTTTTGGATAAGAGCAAACACGTTACCTAGTACTGTTCAAGTTCTATTGCTTATTGACCGGAAGGAAGTTAGTTAGGACATTCCGATAGCAACCAACAAACCAAAGAAATCGAAGAAAACCTATCACGCATCCAGATCGGATACGAGAAGCACGCACGCCGTCACGTCGCCCGCGTCCGTCCCCTCCACCGCCCACGTGGACAGGACGGCGGTGGGCTCGACGGACGCCGACGTCACGCGCGCCGCGCACGCCACGCACGCCACGCGCGTCACGCACGCCACGCACGTCACGCACGTGGCGCACGTCACGCGCGTCACGCCGCACGACCACGGCAACATGCACGCGGGCACCTTCGAGCCGGCGACGCCGCCCGACCCCAGGACCACGCCCACAGACGGTAATTTGTTTCAACATTCGTATATTTCTAGTGTTAAAGACGGTTAAAGTTATTTATTCCGTCACCTTATATGTAATATTACAAAGCTTAAACATTAAAATAATAAAAATAAAAATTCTAAGAAACATGTTAAAAAAAATAGTATAAAAGTGAAAAAAAAAAATGTGTTAAAAACAGTAATTATAAACATGTACAGGGTGGCTTTTCCAAGTGTATCCATTTTTTTTATTAAATTCTAGACATAAATAATGTTATATAAAAATGATAAATATTTAAAATCGCTCCTAAGTAATTAATTACATTCATTTGAACTTATCTCAAAAAGTGCGTGATTTATACGCAACTCGTTTATTTTACGCGCGATCATTCATAAATAACACGCACGCAAGTTCGTGCACAGTAAAACGGTTTTGTATTTAGGTTCAAAGAAATATTTATTTTCTCAAAAAAGAATATTACAATATTCACTTATCTTTAAGAAAATTTTACATAGTACATGTTAAATAACAATTTAAAAAGTTTGGATAATCGGAGTTATTGCTAACTTTCCATTAAAAACATTTTTAATTTTTTTTTGAAACTCGTTAAAGAGGAACAATTTTTGACATCGGGTGGTAACTTATTATATAGCTGAGCTCCTTCAAACTGTATATTTCTTCTTCCATACAAAGTCCTGATTTTAGGTAGTTCTAAGTTATGTTTATGTCGTGTGTATTTATGTGTTTTCTTATTAAATGTAATTTGTGTCTTTATTTGATTTGTTAATATTTTTCTGATAAGTATGCATGTAGTATAAATGTATAATTGTTGTATATTAAATACTTTCGTTTTATTATAAATGTATTTAGTAGATGTTAGAAAACTATAGTTGAACAAAACTTTAACAATTTTATTTTGCGCCCTTTGTAAATTATTTAAGTTTGTTTTAGCAGCCGTACCCCATATCTGGATTAAATATTCTAAATGCGGCTTTACTAGCGTGTTATATACATTGTAACGTAGCTTATATGTCATGCATTTTGAAATGTTTCGCAGCGCTCCAGTAAGTGGAATTATTTTTGACCGCACATAGTCTAAGTGTGCTTTGAATGTTAATCTACTATCTAAAATAAGACCTAAATATTTTTCTTGGTTTGATCGCTTTATTTGTTGATTGTTAATTATAAGTGGAGAAAAAACTAGAAATTTTCTTGTTCTTGGCAGAGAAAATAATTTATGATGTTTTATCTACATTAATAGTCAGTAGGTTTTGTTTTAGCCACATATCTAACCTAATAAGATCTTTCTGAGCTTCTGCGATGACGTAATTAATAGAATGTCCAAAGTAAAAAAGACAGGTGTCATCAGCATATAGTGAAATATGTCCAATTAGACCAGCCTCACTAATGTTATTATCGTATATAAGAAACAACAGAGGCCCTAAAACCGATCCCTGTGGTATTCCGTAATCTATTTTAGCAGGGTTGCTTTTAAAATCTTCAATTTTAACGACTTGGTATCTGTTAGTAAGATAGGACTCAAATATTTTATGGGCACTTCCAGTAATACCAATATTCTTAAGTTTTTGTAATAAGAGCAAATGGCTTACTGTGTCAAAGGCCTTTTTGAGGTCAATAAAAATACCAAGAACTATCTTTTTCTTATCAATATTATCCTTGATTTTTGTAACTAAATCAATGGTTGCTGATACCGTGTTGGAATTTGGTAGGAAGCCATATTGGTTTTTATACAGGAAATTTATGTGTGTGAGGTATTTAAATAGACGACTATATAGAACTTTTTCGAATATTTTTGATATCACCGGTAGTACCGATATAGGGCGGTAGTTACCGGGATCCGTCTTAGTTCCAGCCTTATATATAGGGGTCACTTTTGCGACTTTTAAAGTATCAGGGACATTCCATTTACAAGACAATTATTGATGCTATTCGTTAAATTACTAACAATTAGATTTTTTATGGATTTGATGGACTTGGTCGTTATTTCATCTATTCCTGAGCTGGTGTTGCTATCTAAGCTATCAATGACTTTTATTATTTCATCTTCTGTGCAGGGTTTTAATTGTTATAATATATTATCATTATTTTTATTGCGTATAGTGCTAGTCTTTATATTATGTAGTGTATTTAATGTAGGATCGGAAGAGTGGAGAATTTTTTCAGCTAATATCGTACCAATATTTACAAAGTAATTATTAAAGGTATTACAAATTTCAGTTTTATCAGTAATTTCTTCATCTTCGACAATAAGCTTCTCTGGAGCACAATTTTGGCTTACCTTATTCTTTGCAAGTGTGTTAATTAAGTTCCACATTTTTTTTGGATTTTCATTACATTTTTCAAAAGCATTATAATAATATTTCTTCTTTTCTTGCTGTATAATTTTAGCTACCCTTTGCTTTGCCTCTATATATCTTGTTTTTACTTGTATATTTTTTGAATCGGCTTTGTACTTATTCCAAAGTCGATTTCTATCATTAATGTAACTAATTATTGTTTTATTAATCCAGTCATTACGTGGCATGTTTATGATTTTGTGCTTTAAGATTTTAGCATCAGCTATTTGACATTTTATAAAACGTTCAAATGAGTCATAGTTCTCAATAGTAAAATGGTTCTTTGACACATTTTTAAATAACGTAGCATAATCTATGGCCTGGTATTGCACTTTTTGACGCAGTGATAATTTATACTTCTTAATTTCAATATAAATCTGTTTGTGATCTGAAAGTGATGAATCTATTATGGCCATATGCATCTTTAAGTCCCAATTATTTGTGGTCACGTGATCAATAATACTTTTTGTGTGTTCTGTTTCACGAGTAGAAAAGTCTTCTTGAATATAATTTGCTATGTAGTAACCTGATTCATGCACAGTCTCTATATATTCTTTACTTTTCCTTTCGTTTTGCAATAAATCTATGTTAAAATCTCCAAATATTATAGTCTTTTTTTTTATTTTTATCCAAAAATGTTGAGTAAGTCTCCAGAAATTCTTTTAAGTTTGTGTTCGGGGGCTTATAAATTAATCCAATGGTTAATGAATACTTTATTAGGTCTATCCATAAATAGTTATTACCATTTGTGTACTGCTCGTCTGTAACAGTATATTTAATTGCTTTGTGTATGTACATGGATACGCCACCTCCAATACAATTCTTTCTTATATTATAAATATGCGTGTAATTTGGTATTTCGAGTATATTTGCGTCAAATTTAGATTTCATCCACGTTTCGGTTAATAATAAAATATGTATGGGTTCTTTAAAACTTTTTATTATACATTTTAATTCATCGAGTTTGCCCGGCTTAATTAAACTTCGTACGTTGGCATACAACATCCGTAATGATGACGAAGATAGCAATACATTCTGATAGTTATCGACATGCTGGTAAGTTATGAGTTCTATTGTTTCTTGTTGCTTATAGTTTTGTTCAGTAGAATACCTCGGTATCAGTTTTTTGTAACCTTAATTATTTTTGGTAAACCCTTTATGTACTTTATTACGAGGTCAGATTCACCGCTTTCTTTGCGGCGATGCAACTCCTCCCGTAGATTCTTAAAAAAGCTTAATTGCATAGGCGTTTGGTCAGCAAATATGCGTACATTATTGTTTTTAAGTTTTGATTTATTTCGTAAAATGTTTATAGCTGTATTTTCGTCTTGAAAACATACCTTAAGACATCTTGTTTTGTCGACATTATATTTACCTAAACGCATAGCACTAATGGGAGTTGGGCATTCCTTATAAAAACTTTTAATTAAGTTAAATGTTTCATCAATGTCGTGTTTACGCCTTATCGTTGGATTTTTGTTCTGTAATTCAGGTATACCCGCAATAACAATATTTTTTTGCCTTTGAGCTCGTTCTTTAAATTCTATGGCCAAGGACTCATAGTCGAATGTTGGTGGAAATTTGTTATTTTCTGCGGATTCGCTCTTTAGGGCGGCTAAATCACTTTCATTATTTATAGTACGTAGTTGGTTTTCTAAATCTTTAATATTTTTTCTTATCTGCTCTATATCAAGTTTCATTTCAGATTGCTCGGCTTGGAGAAATTCGGTGGTTTTAGTAAAGTCCGATATAAGTTTATCGAATTCCGAGCGAATAATTGAAGATAATTCACTTTTAATTTTTGTTTCCAAGGTTTCTAAATAACCAGAAAATTTTTGATCGAGCGTTTTATTTAATAGCTTCTCAATACTCTCTAAAGTAAATGGCTGTGGTGAGAGGGTGGAGGATGGTTCATTGTGCTTACTTAATAGATCAATTGTCTTGCCCTGGGATTGAACGGGCTTATTACTATTATCTCCTGCTTTTGTCATGTTGGCTATACAAGATGGGCAAATCCATTTCGACCGAGAAGTAGGTGAATTCACATATGCTACACATTCATTGTGATATTGTTGTCCGCATTTTCCATTGCTGCATTTTATACGTTTTTGTGTTACTAAAACAGTTTCTTTGCAAGCTGAACATAAAACCATCTTTATTTTAAAGTAAGAATGAACAAAAAGAGTTGCGTATAGGACGGGGCCCGAACCTTGACCTCAACGATTCTAAAGCACAAGGACTCAAACTACACCACGCGTCTGCTATGTTATGTTTTGAAAATAATGTTCTGTTTTGTACAAATATGTCTTGGTTAATCAGCAACTACGTATCTTATTTTCACGTGTGGGTAGACAAATGTCACAACACTGTTTCACAATTGTAATTTTGTAGATTTTAACACTATGTGAGCAATCGTTTTACAAAAAAAATTATCACAATTTGAAATTTTGTTAACACTGCTTATTCTAAACATTAATTCTTCTTTATTACGCTCTTTAAACAATTTTAAATGGAAAAAGTAACGAACGATATCTAGTACGAGCGTGATCCGATGTACCTGTTTCAATAAACGATTATGCTACCGAGTCTGAACTATTGTTCATTTTAAAAATTTTTCGTCTTTTTCAGAAATTTGTTTATTTATGATGTTATTTTTTATTTATTTAGTTATATTACTTATATTGGTAACTTTATCGAATCAAGTGAACATTGCATACAATAGAAGTATATATAACGACCTTTTTAAAAGATATTTTGACCTAAAACTTCAAATGATGACTTTCGGCGCCGGGGGTCGTGGGTTCGATTCCCACACGAGACAACTGTTTGTGTGACCCACAGATAGTTGTTTCGGATCCGAGTATTTGTCCAAGTGAAATTTATGTATGTAATGTATTTAAAACGTTATTAGTACACAGGATAATGTCACCCTACAGTAAGGGCCATAAAAACCCATCCGGCCCCGAAGGGTCGAAGTTTTCACCGAAGACCGAACCGCGCTTCCAGAGCACACGCGGCCGGGCCACTTCACGCCCACCGTGAGCGGCCGCCACACGCCCGAGGCCACGCGCAGCACGGACGAAGACCACCACATGCCGGAGTACGAGGACCGCAGCGCCAACGAGCTGGACGCGCAGGCGCCCACGCACGAGGGCGGCGAGCTTAGCCGGCCGCCGGGCAGGGCGCACCCCGACTACAACGGCTACGAGCACGAGATCACCACCAAGTGGTACCACCCCAAGACCACGGACAGCAGGGTGGTGCCGCCCGAGTCCGAATTCTTCGCGACGATTGTCGGTGAGTGGGCTTTCGGGGTGCCGCTGTGGTGGGGCCGCGCGGCAGTCTTCTGCTGGCAGTTTGAATGAATGAATGAATGAATGGAATATCCTTTGTTGTATACCAGACAAAAATATAAAGTAAAAAAAAAAATAAAGTAAAAAAAAAACATAATCGCACAATCGGCGGCTTTGTTGCTTATAAGCGATTTCTTCCAGGCCAGACCAGTAAGTGAACAATAAGTGGACAAAAGCCATATTATGTACCTATTGAATTTATTACGAGAAAAAAAAAAAACCTAATAAAGAAGTAGATATAGGAATAAATGCTTAGGGGGGATACCACCATATCCTTATAGAAGACCGGTGTGAAGTGGAAATGTTATACTTTCGCGTTTCGCCTGGTTAGTAAGGTGTTCGGGGCCTACTGTTTTAAAGGTTAGCAACGTGCAAAAGCATTACTAACGAACATAGATAGTTGTCAAGATTTCGCTCCGTGGGGTCATTAGCCACTTCTTTTAGTCGGTAAAGCGTCTGGGCGCGAAACCAGAAGACGCACTTATGACACTTAATTATAATAACCTTACTAGCCAAGAGCTAATAGTCTTTAGCCCAGCTATAAAACAAGTTAAGTCAAGCACGTGAATTTCCATGGGACCTCTTCATTACTTAGGCCCCATCGTAGCAAGAAGTCTCATGTTTGATGTCACGGTGCTGCCATCTATCGGAAAACGTGCCACGTTTCGTTTAGCGACCGTATTCATAACCATTTCCGAACTTATATTTAGATCGAACCTTAAGAAGAAAAAATAGGGCCTTTTACTGTGTAAACACTACTACTGAACTTAATTCTATTAGTAGTCTATGATGCTGAGGACTCATTACCAGGTTCCACTGAAAACCAGCAGTCGCGATTTTTTTCTTTTTTTCTTTCTTTTCTCCTTTTTTTAATCACCAACGTAATCGTTTCAGGGATCGTAGCGTCAGTTCTGATAGCGATCATCCTCATCGTTATCATCGTGCTCAAGTACTTCGTGTTCAAAATAGACCCCTCGTATAAGGTGACCGAGGACAAGAGCTACCAGCAAGGGGCCAGCGCCGCCCTCTTGGGCAACCAGGTGAGCGATCGCCGATGATTTGGATAATGTTTCATCATAGAACTGTTCGAGTTCGTCTCAGTTCGGTTAAACAGTGGTAGGGCCACGCAACAGTCTTGGCTGTTTCACCAATGGCTCCGTCCGGGTGTGTAAATGTCCTCCGTCATACACATCAACATCCGCCAGATCGTTTGCCACCTTCGTACTCGTAAAACAGATGAAACTAGATTCTATAATTTTGCGATACATCTGGTGAGTAACCCTGAGTGGTTTAAAAGGTTAAAGGTCAAGCTCAGAGGCAGAATAATCAATGCATGCTGTACAGTACCTAGGTTTTCTATAGCATTTCCTATGGTGTGCGTTTCAGTTAGATAGATTTATTCTGTTCCTTCCCTTTCTATCGTTGGGCATTTGAAACATTCACAACCCTATAATATGGATTATTGGTGGAATCGCTTCGTACTTATTATTAATACATAATATTGTTTATTCATTCCTTGGTACAGCAAATTTTTTTGCCCAAATATGTGGGACAGCAAAGTGAGAGCGAAAAGATTTTCGCTGAGCATCTCGACAGTAAGTATGAAAACCCGCACATTATAGCTAAGGGATGGGGATTTGTCTCTTAAAATCTTACGCTTTTCGGCGTATGTCTAATTTGCGGACTGTAACGTGTTATAAGGAACTTAGTTTTAATAGATGTGAAGTCAAATTAGAAATTCAATATATATATAATCAGCAGGCGCACTCGAGCTACCAAAGCGCTTCAAGCGCTGCGCTGGGCACCGCCGGCGGGGCGTCGAGGAACCTGCAGCCGCTTCCGCTGCAGCGGAGCGCTGCGCCCGCTCCGGCGCCGCACGCCGCGCACCCGGTCAAGCGCGACGGCATCAAGGAGTGGTACGTGTAGGCCGCTCTCGCCCTTGCGCTTTACATTATACGGTTGGATTTCGCGTGCGCTGCAATACTGAACCGTAGTATTGTTTTTTGTTTGACATAGCATGCATACGAAACTGTGCCGTGTTTATATTATGTGAGAAGCGTTTTTCGTTCGCCGCTTTGGTTATGAATTGTTTTTTTGTTAAATTTGTCAAGCGAGACGGCATCAAGGAGCGGTACGTGTAGGCCGCTCTCGCCCTTGCGGCTATCGCAATACGGTTGGATTTCGCGTGCAATATTGAGCCGTATAAGTAATGCGTTTTTATGTTTGACATAGCATGCATACGAAACTGTGCCGTGTTTACATTGCGTGAGAAGCGTTTTTCGTTCGCCGCTTTGGTTACGAATTGTTTTCTTGTTAAATTTGTCAAGCGAGACGGCTTCAAGGAGCGGTACGTGTAGGTCGCTCTCGCCCTTGCGCGTCACGCTATACGGTTGGATTTCGCGTGCAGTACTGAACCGTATAATTATTGTTTTTGGTTGATGAGTATGCAACCGAAACTGTGCCGTGTTTAAATAGCGTGAGAGGCGTTTTTCGTTCGCTGCTTTGGATACGAATTGTTTTCAGAGTTGATTTACTATTAAATTTGTCAAACGAGACACGGAGTTGTACGTGTAGGTCGCTCTCGCCCTTGCGGTTTACATTATACGGTTGGATTTCGCGTGAGCCGCAAGACTGAACCGTTAGCATAAGCAAATCTAAATTGTGTTGTGTTCACATCCTTTTTTTTGGTCATTTCGATAATGAAGAAATTTACGGTTTGTTTTGAATCCATATTTGAGTTCATCCTGAATTGAGACGTATTAGTTTATTATTGGATACTCGGTATAGGGAACCCCTTGTTCAACCAAAATTGTACCGTGTTCTTATCGACAGAAAGGCGGTTTTACATCAACGCTTTATATTGCTTAGTGTTCCTCGAGCATTTCGTTAAAATATAGTGTTATATTCTACGAAAGGCGCTTCTCACACTTTAAATACTCACCCAAAATTTCCACACGCCTTATGTTTTCAAACCGTAATGATTTCTCTCAAGTTTTATTTTCCTAAAGCTGTCCTAACCCAATCGATTTGCTAAGGCGTTCAAGATTAAATATAAAACGATCACTATTACATAAGCTAATTTTACACGAGTAATGCATAAGCGAAACTAAAATTTGTAACGCTCATTATAGGATTGTAACAAGATCTTAAGTACCTCGTCAGGTCACGCGGCCTAAGACGTAAAGATTTATTTGAGAAGGACGTCGCTTGTTGTTTTGTAAAGTCGCTTTATATAAATCAATCGATCATTCATTAAATTAATTCAAACGGACGATATTTGAACGGTAGTGTTAACAAGTGGGACATATCAGCGTTATATATATCTGCGAATCGTTCAATGCATTGATTTTGAAACCTTTCCTGTTTATTTTACTTGTGTGTTTGTTAAAAATATAAACTCTTTAAATATTTCGCGCTGGAACGACACATTGGAATGTATAAATACAACTCATAAATTATTATTTCGTAAATTGCTTTCAGTAATGTTTATTTTTAAGTCTCAATGAAATTTCAAGTTATAGTTTAGATAGTTAAGTTTACTGTAAATTTGTTTTACGTTTCATTTGTAGGTAGCTGTTAAGTTATCGAGTTCTATTGATTTGTTAATAGTTTTAAGTTTCCAATGTTACCTTCATAATTTAATCTTTGACTCTCCACCGCTATCACTTGGCGTTAGCCATAAAGTTTAATTTAGTTAGAAATCCATATTTGCTAATTAAGGTTTACATTTCTTTAAGACATTAGTATCATATTTAGCATCGTCAACCGACTGATATGCGAGTGTTTAGATATGTAAATATTAACACTAAATTAAAAGAAAATTTAAGAAGAAACGTTCAACTCATCGACTGCATATGCGAGAAACATTTACAACCAGTATCGCGTGAATTTGGAATTGGTATATAAGGTAGGGCCACTTCTCTGTCGTTGACTCAAACTATACTTACTTGTGTGCCCAGTAATTAAGAGTTTAATTTATAATCTGTGCTCATGATATAACTTAATTCATTTCCTGAGACTCGGTTAGAACAGCGGGCTCATTCGATTTGTGTCCAGATTATGTCCAGTCATTTCGACATAACAGACAGAGTTATATAACATATTTTCGAGTATGGAGCAGCTAAATATTTGCGTTTTGTAAATAATTCATGTCTATAGAGTTTTCAAAGCCATCCTAGTCCACTACGGAACATCTAGGACATATAAAATTAAAACAATTCATAAATTACAATTATTCATACAATATTCAATATAAAAAGTCTAATAATAAAGATTGTAAAATTTATATATTCGGAGTACCTCAAGGAAGCTCCTATAGCCACTCTTCTTCATTGACTATAATAAAGATATTGGCAGTTTTACCGGCAGATTAAAAAGAAATTGATTAATTTATAATCTCGAAAAGTTGAAATGCATGCTGTTTCCCCTTCGATTGGTAAACTAAACCTATTAGTAAATCGCTTTAATTCTTACTATTTATTAGATACTACATCCACCGTCCCGTTTTCCTCTTTCCGAATAATGAAAATCTTGAATTAGCTTTAAATTAAGATGGACAAATGTCATATTTATATAGATCGTTATGAAGCACAGGTTCTAGGCATTCAAAGTTGCATTTATTGTATATAGTTAATAATTATGATATAATAAATTAAGCGGTATTTTACGGTGTAGCCACACTCGTTTTACGGCACAAAATTTTAGTAAAAAAAATTAACAAAAGCGGTTTGTTTGTCTGTCAATTTTAGTGTTTAATATGGTGAATGTTGTAATTATTCGTACCAGAACCATCTATTAATAATAGTCACGTGTAACATTTTCTACAGGCATAGCGTTCACAGGATGAAATATTATGATATATATTAGTAAATGTTTATGATTGCATAAGTTTAATGAAGTAATATAATCAGCTATTAACCATAGTAATTGAAAGTTTATTTATTTTACCGTAACAAGACGTATCTGAATACTATATCTGTAGAAAATGCTTACGGTAGATTACTTTTTGTTTACACCTTATGTCAAATTGTTGTACAGTCGACCTCTTTCGTACCGAGTTTTGTTTATGTGTAAAGCAGTCAGTTTTTCAAATAAAATAATACTATGTGAATCGTATACTGGTTTCATTTGTTTATTCCCTTAAAGTAACTAATGTTTTTTTTTTTAATTTGATTGCTTTTTAATTGTCCCTATGTTCAAGCTTCTGAAAAATTTGTTATATCCAACTGAGCCAAACTACCGATTTGGGTGATTTAGTGGCTTATTAGGTCAGAGCGTCTATGTATCTGATATGATCATGGGTGCCTTAAAACTAAGTTCACCACCTACTGGGTTTACCACTAGATGTTAAGCATCCGGTTGATGCTGCAATGTCAAGTTCCCAACATATTCCCAATATAAACATTCTGTTGGCCTTCTCGTGACAATAAGTTCGCAGCCTACTTCTGCATCTTGTCGATGATATCACGAACCCTCAGGCTTATTTGCATGCGCTAGTATCTGTCGAGCTTGGTGACGCCGCACATCCACCTCAGCTCCATTTCAGTGACTTGAAAGGTATGGACGCTTTTTCTGAGTTTTTTTGATGTCAGGAGGTGGTAAACGAGGTGGCGGTTCCCCTGATGTTAAGCGATAACCACCGCCAATGGACATTTGCAAGACCCGTAGGGTTCCAGACGCGTTGCCACCTTGTATAAACGTGGGCCCCAGCTACCTTGCTGGTGAGCCATACGAAAGTATAACATTTCCACTTCACGCCGGCCGTCTGTGAAGTCGTGGTACTCCCCCGGACGGACCTGACAATTCGTGGAACAATGAAGGTTTCGTTGAAGTTTGTCCTGTGTTGTTGTTGCGTGGACTTACCACAGTTATGTTTAACATGGAAAGAGCATTCGATATTCTCTTCTGGTTCCGGTTGAGCCTTTACAAGAATAACATCCCCGAAATATATATTAATGTCATTTTTTAAATGTCAATGTAAATGTAAATGGACAAGGGTGCGTGATATGGTGCAGAAAGTGATGAGACGGAAAATTGGTAACGGTAACAGAGGGCGCTCCCCAGTGTTCTAAAGGCCTTTAGTGTTTTGCTTAATTTTGGGCTCAGTTACCGAGGAAGCACAAAATTATGCAGCCTGGACTTTTATATACGCTGATTATGTAGCCATTTGTACTGAGGGCCGTGAGCTAGTTATGTAATTGGTGATGATGCCAAAACAAACATTAATATCCCGTCTTCAGTCGCGGTGGTCTGGATAGGTAGTGGAGCTTCTAGGGGGCATATATATATGCATAAAATGTATCACGTACATTTACTGAAATTGGATTTGTGCTTACACACTACCAGGGGTTACGGGGTGAGCGCGTGGATTGGTTGGCGCTCACGGCGTTGGTGTTGTTTTCATGAAGCCGTGTGCCTTAGTGGAGCGAATACCTTGTATTCGGTGATTCACCTGATGTTAAGTGATAACCTACGCCCATTGACATTTGCAACTCGCGTAGGGTCGTGGATACGGTGACACCTATTAATAAAGTAGACCCCGGTAACCCACTCACCAGACGAAACGCAGAAGTCTAACACTTCCAGTTCACGCCGGTCGTCTGTGAGGTCGTGGTAGTTCCCCGGATGGACCGACCCATTCGTGTAACAGCGAATTGTTGTGTGGCCCTACCACAGTAAAAGTTAGTTCGGGAAGACCGCCGACGGCAGTTGGTTCAACAGAGTAGTTGTGCGAGGCAGGAAATGAAGAATCGCGCTGTTGTGGAACGCTGGACATCGAGGTGGTGTGGATGAAATTAAAAGAAGATGAACTTATTAAATTACTCAAAAAGAAACTATTAATTATTTGTTGATATGTGCGGCTTGCCCATCAGTTAGTATGTTTGTAATTTCACCCATTAGGTAGAAGAAAATCCTATTGTGGGTAGCAATATACTAGGCCGGAAAGGGGGGAATCAAAACAGTTCCAAGTATCCTAACACCCCAAGAGAGTAAAACTGTAAGTTACCTCGGTATTTGCTTAAAATGAATGTTATACATTTTTTCTGTGAAAAGTTGTCAGGTGGTCCACCTGATTTTAAATGTATACCGCCGCCTATGGGCATCTACGGCACCTTAGGAGCTTGCATTTGGTCAACGCATCTGCAAGCTCCTAGGTGCCCTTAACTAGCAAGGTGGGCACTAACCTTTAAAAAAGTGGGCCCCCGGTACCTTACTCACCAGACGAAAGCTAAAGTATTATAACTTCCACTTCACGTCGGCTTGGTACTTACCCGGACGAGCCTGCCCATTCGTGCAACAGCTGAAGCTGCGTTGCCCTACCAGGGTCACCAACTACTTATTCTTAATGATTTCCTTCGTGTGAAATTTCAACCTTAAGAAAAAGATTTACAATAAATTTTTTCTCTAAATCTGTCTGTTCTGTCCACCGATTGTCATTTATTACGTAATTATTTCAACGGTGACGTTCCTCCATCGATTTAGATATTTGTTAATGAAGAAAGTATGCAGCCTTAGTGTAAATAATTGCCGAATCAACATTAAACATGATAACCCGTAAAATTAATTTCATTAAATAAAGTATTTTGTTCGCATAAATATACGCAATAAGCTGTGTTTGTGTTTTAGTTGTGCGTGGAATTTGAATTAAACTAAACCGACTCATAGGGACGATATGAAAAGGTTATTTTGAGATTCAGTATATATATATCAGTATAGGATTTCCACCAAGGATCTTTCATGCGTTTGAATAGGTATCTGACATGTGCATTTTCCAAAATAAATGGCTTCTGTCCCTCTCTGACCTATAAATTATGATTTTTATCATGTATGATTCTTTGTCTCTTCGCAATGTTAAAACAAATAAAAAGTGATGTTGATGAGTGAAACAAAATTAAAACATGGATGTAGAATGTGATGTTTCCACCATTCGCTAAGCTCCCGACGTTTCACGATTGAGCACGTGATAAGTCAGCACTTAAAATTAATAATTTCATTGGTGCCAGCACTGGGGATAGATCTCAGGTTGATCCAGTACATAGAGAGCGCCCGGACAATGAGCTATAGAAGAACAGTTAATTTCATGGTCACCAAAAATGTATAACAACAACACAACATTGCCTCCATATGGCAAAATGGACGCTGACTATAAAAACACATAGGATAAATTTTGTATAATATTCATCCTAATTACTTGTTCGGAGGAAAATTATATCAAGTTCAAAGTCAATCCCTCGCAGATTGAAGTCTCCATAGGATCTTAAATTCACAAACTTGTTAAACAAATATTCGATGTGTAAAAAAAATTGTGATAATTTCTTAATATTTATCCCACGCGAATCTTGCTAGTTTTTTTTTAGAAAAACATTCTGTCATTGTTCAAAACGTTCATAGGAAGTTTTAAGCAAAACCCGTTCAGATGTAATGCTCATACCGAGAGTGGACTATAGGTGTCTAGTCTATGACAGTAAGGATATATATATCCGATCAGTGTCCGAACACCATAAAAACTGCTTACCAGAAAAGATTATTCGTCATTAAAAATATTTTTAAGCTATTGCATACCTTTTATCGCGGGCTTTGAGCGCGGCGACCGCATCAAAAAATTCTGTAACGAAAATACAACCTAATACCACCCGCTCCGCCTACCATGTAAGAGGAAAGATTTGATTGTTTGTATGCATTGAATAGGCTCTGAAAGTACTGAAACGATTTGAAATTTTATTTCACTGTTGGAAAGCTACATTATACCCGGATGACATAGGCTACATTTTATTTAAAAAAAAAATAGGGATCCTTACTAAAACTTCAATAATGTAACCCAAAGTATACAAAAATTACCTAAAATATTCTTTACATCGCGTGCGCTGCGAAAACTCATGATGATAGAATAAAATAATGTACTACGAATTTGCAGAACACATCATTATATACAAAAAGTGTTTAATTTATTTACTGAGCCTACCTATAAAAGAACAAACGACAGTATAGTATCAAATGATATTTCAGTAAAAAGCTCCTCTGTTCAAAATGTTACAAGCAATTCATCATCTTCGGTAATCATTGTGTTTACGATTCAAGGAGTTTCGCTAAAGTTCAGTTCTTGCTCCAATTGGGGGCGATTATACTCCTATTTACTTTTAAAATGTCAGCACCATTGTGATTTGAAATGACGAATCGTTTCAGACGCGATGAACATTTTCACTGTGAGAATTTATATAAAATTCTAACATAGATAATAATGCAAATTGTTTACAGTACTTTAAATCATTATTTTTGAATGTATTGATGTATGATGGGTGATTGATGGATGTTTATGTTATTATTCAGAATTGTAGTTAATTTAGTTTTTGTGCGTATCGAAAGATCTCGTCTCACCATAAGACTTGTAGAGAATGCCCGAAAGACATTATATCCGCCATTTGTTGTTGAATTTTGAAGGTAACGCAATACTATAACACACAATACACTCGCGGTGTCTGTCACTTACCTTACGCGGTAGAGAGAGCTAACTTATTATAAATAAATAAATCGTGGTAAGTAAAGTCTGCCAAACTTTACTTACCGCTCGTCTGGGTAAGTACCACGACCTCACAGAAGACCGGCGTAAAGTGGAAGTATAATACTTTCGCGTTTCGTCTGGTGAGTGAGGTGGCCAGAGCCCAATTTTCAAAAGGTTGTCAACGCATCTGGAACCCTCGGGTGTTGCAGAAGATCATGGGCGGCGGTATTCACTTAACATCAGGTGAACCGTCTGCTCACTTGGCAACTTTTCACATAAAAAAAAAAGAACCTGGATCACAAATATCAGTCAGTGATTCTTACTCACTATTGAAAAAAGAACCAGTGGGTTCATCAAAAAACACACAATCCTATCCTTGTCTTTTCATAGTGTCTTTCGGCATCGGGGAAAATGTTCGTTTTATAGATATTAAAAAGAATAAACTTATATAAGATAAAGTTAATTTGTCACTAACTTTTTAAAGCAAAAAGCTTTTGGCTTGTTAAACTGCCTTATCGCAATATCGGTTTTATACAAAATCTTACAAATGGCTTTAATTGTTAGGAAACTGATAAATTAAAACTAACCAAATATTCAACACCCCTGACACATAACTGATTACAAAAGAAGGTAAAAAGTAACGTGGAATTTCATTTCAAAGCAGCTCTTTCGTTAGTCTAAGCTCATAATGACGTGTGCCGGAAATTTGCTTCGTTACTTATTCCACTCGACATTTTTTCTTGTGACGCTGGCTGAAAACTCACTACTAATGACCAGCGAGGATTTTAGTCAAACAGCAAAAACCGCTGAGTGCGTTTTAAAATTGTCCGCGAAATACTTCGTGGAAGAGAACGCTTTAAGCGGCAGCATAGTGATAATCAATATCAACTCTTATAATTCCAATACACAGAGGCTATTATTGCAAACTATACATGGCGGGATGAAATATTCCGTCATGGTAAAGGACTCTTCCTATCCGCATGCGAACGCGTCCCATTTCCCCGAGAAGGCGAAGAATTACATGTTGATTTTAGAAGAGAAATCGGAGTTGACGAGAAATATATTGCAACTGCACAAATTGCCTTCCTGGAATCCGCTCGCTAAAGGAGTAGTCTTTTACCAATTGCGACCGAGTGAAATTGGGCAAAAGATTGCGATGCACTTCATAAATGAACTGCGTAGTTTCAAATTATTGAAGAGCATTATATTGATTCACGATCCCTTAAAGGACGAGGTCCTTTCTTATTCTTGGACTCCTTATACAGAAACAAACTGCGCAGGCAAATGTGATTCAGTTTACATACTCGATCTTTGTAAGGACAACGTTTTTGTCGAGGTCGAGGCAATGAGAAATATGTTCCCAATTAATATGAATGGGTGTCCACTTACCATTCAAGCAATGGTAGCCGAGCCTTATGTGATGAATCCCAAGAGGAAATCGTTCAGTAAAAGTTACGCCAACAATTACGAATTCGACAAAGGTGGCGAAGTGAATTTGGTGAAAACAATCGGCGAGTTCACCAATATGAGTCTTCACATGTTCTTATCCGAGAACGAGGAAGAATGGGGCACGATAAGTAAGAACGGTACGGCGACAGGTGCCTTCCTTATGCTCAGAAACAGTACGATAGATCTTATGATAGGTAACATTGAGGTGACAAAAATCCTGCGCAGATGGTTCCACCCGACTGTCAGTTACACGCAAGACGAGATGACGTGGTGCGTGCCGCGAGCGGAGAAGGCGGCCACTTGGGACAATTTAGTGATAATATTCCAATGGCCGACTTGGGCGGCCACTTTTACAATCTTTATCATATTAGGACTGATATTCCATTACATGCACTACATTGAGAACAGAAAGGCATCGAAGTGGCCTGAGAAATCGCTTTTGATAACGTTGAACATGCTATTAGGATGGAGTGCGTCTTTCAAACCGAAAGGGTCAGCGTTCAGAATACTCATATTTAGCTGGCTTTGTTTCAGTTTCAACATGGGGGTATCGTACGAATCGTTGTTGCGCAGCTTCTTAATGCATCCGCGGTACGAGAGGCAAATAAGCACCGTCACGGATATCGTCAGATCCGGCATGGCGTTCGGTGGAAGAGAGATCCACCGCTCCTATTTCAAGGCGAACAACTCAAGTTACTTGCACAGGAATTACAAAACCACGGCCTTTTCGGAGGGGATAAAGAGAGTTGCGTTGCGGCGAGATTTCGCGGTGGTGGCTTCGAGGCGTCAGGCCGCGTATTACGACCAGAGATTGGGGCGGGGAAAGCGTCTGATATATTGCTTCCCGGAGAGCAGCAACCTGTACAAATACGGCGTCGTCCTCTTAGCGCGCAAATGGTTTCCGATGATGAAGCGGTTCAACAGCATTATAAGAAGCGTGACAGAAAACGGGTTGATAGAGAAATGGAACAAGGAGCTTTTCATCCATCGGGCCAGTCCCGACGGTATGGAAGACATTTTACCGCTAAGTATTGAACATCTGCTTGGTGCCTTCGCGTTCATCGGTATCATGTACGCAATAAGCACTTTTGTGTTTTGTGTCGAGATAATCTTGGGTTGGATTGAAAGACGCAAATTTTTTTGCCAGCCAGGGTATGGAGTTAGAAAATGAAATTACACGTATAAGATTTTTGCACATCAGCAATTTACACAGTAAGTTACGCGCTTACAACTAATATACACCGTCAATTTCACAAAATTTGTAGACATTATACATATTTAGTTTCAAATCCTACTTTACCCGTAATAAACTGCGTTTTATTTAAAAAAAAAACATAATTACATTATCAGGCTGTTACGATGAGCTTAAGATAAACCAATGTAAGATTAAGATGTGAATTATTTGTAGAATATTGTCGAGAATTTCGCTTCGTAAGGTTATTAGACGCTTAATAAAATTTATTATAAAGATGAGTGTAGTTGTCACAATAATGTTTTAGATTGATACATATTATGTAAATGCACATTTCAATATTTTTGTAAACAGCACTACATAACTGCTTATAATCATGTGCGTGCGTGCTATATTAATATTATATCAAAGTAATTAAATTACTTTATGACTTATAGAAACCTATACTAAAGTAAAGTTTTTACTTTGTAAAGTAACAACATAAAAACAGAGGCCTCCTGTGTACAGAGGGCATAGTCCACCATTTCATTGTTATTATTTCGAGTATATGCAGTTTTCTTAACGATGTTTTCCTTCACCGTTGAGAACGTGATAATTTAGCACTTAAAATTAAGGATCGAACTCAGGTTACTCGAGTATGTTGAATTAGAAGCGAGCGCCTGGACAATGAACGTCTGTACCCATACTAATCGATTATAATCCGTACTTTTTAGTATGGACTATATTCGATTAGTATTCGTTTCGACTTCGAGTAGTAAAGTTTTTATAGGATCTTTGAGAAAAATAATTGAAGGATTATATATCAATTAATACATTCCCCGTCTGTCTTTTATCTAATTTAATGTACGGAATGTTCTAGAAGACAACCTTTGTCTTAACCTAATCACCTTCCAATACTTGTCTTAATTATCTCTAACTTCTGTAAGACGATGTGGGATACGGTATTATAGTCTTACACCGTAAACCGCAGGTGAATTGCCTAAATTGCTGTTGCCAGCGGAAATCGATCGTATTACAAAGGGTTAGAGTCCAAAATTTCTCAAATATCGTTGTTAAAGGGAGTAGCGCACTATGATGGTAATTACGTGTTCGCGTATTGTGCATTAGGGGCGACGGTGTAGAACTTAACCGGGCACATTAGCTATTGATTATTATTTACTAATGCATAAGGCGTGTGCCAATTTATATGGGCCCCTTATAACTAGTTTAACTGCCGAGTAGGCACTATAAGGTTTATTGGAAGACCGAGAAAATTTTAATTGAATCTTTATTGCACTTTGATTTCTTGTATTCACGCGTATACGTTTTATTTAAACACTCTATATAGAGTGTTTAAATAAAACGTTTTACGTTTTTTTTTGCCTTGGATTTTAAATTTACAAATAGTAAGTTAAATCGATTGCTATTTGCGTCACTTTTGCTCACAATTTATTGCATTTCATGCAAAACTAACAAAAAATAACGCGCACGTACAGAATTATTTATCGGTCAACTTATGGTGCGGTAAAATTAGCGAGATCACGGGTTCGATCCGCAGTGCACAAAGGATTTCAATTTTATTATTACACTAGGGGCTTGAAACTGATAGATTCAATTGATTCGTTCTAATCCATTCGGATTTTATCATGAGAGTGTGTGATTCATCCTAGCCTAATCGGGTGAAATCATGTGAATTTGTGTGTGTTTATTTATGTCTGATAATGTGTAAATCATTGTCTAACATCTGCATTGGGTATATAAATTCGGAATGTTCCCTGTCCCATCAGATACTTAATAAGATCGGTAAGCCTTGAAACGAAGACAGTCCTATAACAGAAAACTAGCGTGAAATAGAAGTATTACTAACTTTCTTTCTTACTACTTATGGTTTCGCGTTTCACCTGGTGATTGCCGTGGCTATGTCCCATTTTTAAAGGTTGTTTCATCTGCAATCAGGTGTTGTGAGTGTCCATGGGCGGCTCTATTCACTAAACCCCCAAATTGAACCATCCCTTTGCTTATTTTTTTTTCACATAAACATTTTCTGACTATACCTTTAGGTTATATGTGTATAAGTTTGTAACTTTATTCTGATTGTTCCTCGTAGCTTCTGCTGTTTTACGAATGAGTGCAGTTCTCGGAAAGAACTGCATCACGGCAGACCAGCGTGGAGTGGAAGTATTATACTTTTACCGCTTTAGTAACACTTCTAGTTGTTAAGTCCACGTCGGTGTAAATGTCCACAGCCGGTGATCGCTAGCCATAAAAATATCCTGAAATGATCTACATCAGACAAGGAGAGCTAAATAGAATACAGCGACGATACACTCCTTCGGAATTTGTTTGGACGTGGCGTGCCTCCCTCGAGTATAGTTACGGAAAATGGAAAGCGATATTTCGCCGCTCTAATGGGCAGATATCTCGCCGCCAATACACGATGGGCCGGTGGTGTTTGCTGATGCGATATTCAGGACGTAACGCGTGCGTTTGATGGTGTGTACTCCGAAACGGGTTTGCCGTTCGAATTTGGCTGCTTCATTGAATTAGGCAGTGATTCGATAATTGGTCGAGAATTGACAGTGAATTTTCAAAGACGCGTCATGCTAATGTATTTTGTTACGCGATAGAGGCTGAAGATGTGAGTTAGAGGGAAAGAAAAAGAGAGCTGTACATTATACAGGGAGGCTTTTCTAAGTGTATCCATTCTTTTATTAAATTTTAGATATAAATAATGTTATATAAAAAATGATAAATATTTAAAATTTAATTTAAGTTCGCCATTGTCAACGAGTTCTGTTTTTTAGGGAATAGAATTGAATTTTTTTGGAAAAAAGTTTGTTTTTATTTCAATAAACGATTATACTAACGAATCTGAACCTCCTGTGTGAATTAGGGCTAAGCTACCTCAATTAATTTTTCTGACTCCTATGAATAAGAAAATAATAATGACTTTAAATAACACAAAATCTGAAGGCTATGTACTCCATATGTACAAAAATAATTAAATCCTCTTATAATGAAATAAGTGAAATATTGGTATTTCTAATCAATCTCTCTCTAGAAACAGTCCCCGTTTCCTGACAAATTAAAATATTCAATAGTAAAACTGTTACACAAAAAGGGAGATAAAAGTGATATAACTAACTATCGACCAATAGCAATGGTCCCAGTCCTTTTAAAATTATTTGAAAAGTTATACACTACCAACTTACTTCCTTTTTCACTAAATAATGCAATAAAACAAAATCAGCATGGTTTCCAAAAAAAAAAGAAATCAACAACACATGCTGCGTTTACGTTAGTAAAGGAGGTCTTGCAAAATGTGAATTAAAAAAAATTATACAACAGTACTACACTCGGCGTCAAAAAAATCGCACATCCGAAAAAAATAATTTAAATACTATTTTAACACAACAGGCCAATGGCAATGTTGGGGTTTGAGTGTATCATTCGAAAGGTAATTTCATTAACTTTCAGGAATTTTAATTGAATTTTACTTTTATAACGAGACTAAAGAGAAATTAAAGAAAAAGACAGGGTATGTACAAATTTGCAAATTAATAATTTAAAAAAAAAGACTTAATAAATACAAAAAAAAGTTCTTAAAACCTAGTGTTACCCCTCCTTGATAACGGCTTCCATGCGATCTTTCATGGACCTTACAATGGTCTCAACAGCCTCTTGGGGTATTTGTTCCCACTCTTCAAGTACCTTTGAAGAATGGTTGGAGCTGGATCTCGAGCTCGCACGCGCCGTTTTAGGTCATCCCAGAGATGTTCTATTGGGTTAAGGTCTGGACTCCGTGCTGGCCAATGCATAACAGGGATATTTATTTATACATATTTATTAGCAAATAAAGAAAGTATACTATACTAACTATACTTACCTTTGACCTGCCTATTCGTGCAACTGAAGATTGTTACTTGGCCCTACCACAGTTGATCGTATACGTAAATACAGTTGTATCAAATTACTTTCAATGTTTGTGCAGCGAAAAATGGATTACCTAAAATTTTACGAAAGTAATAAACGGAAAGATTAACCAATACGCAGCGTAAACCCATCAGCTTAATGACCCATTCGCACGCGCGGTGAACTCCATTGGGTTCCAGCCGAAACGTTGACGTCATTGTTGCTCAGTTCGTGACGTAACGGGATGCTTTGTTCAGCGCGTCAGTTGCAGATGTTAAGATAAATCGTTGCAGGGAGAGATGCGGGTAGCTCTGTAACGACAGGTCTGTAGTGTGAATATCGAACGACTCACCGATAGACCCCACAGCCTCTCGCGTTCCGTGCTTCACGTGGAAAAACGAAAAGTCGTTTTTACTAAACAATGAATTTCAGCCCTCCTGAAGACGTTGTAACGACCTATTAATAATAATAAATATTATTATTAATTAGTCATAATAAAGATCAATTAAGATGAAAATAAAACGTTTAAGAACGTTTAATCACAATAAAAGTTAATAATATATACTTAAATTAAAGAAATATAAGTGTTAGTATGAGAAAATGATATTACCAAAAATTGATTAAAAATAGTTAAAAATCACTTAAAATACTGAAAAAAGGATATTTATTAAAAAAATAGCAAGATACGATCACTATTATGTCAATTAACTACAATTCCATACTTAGTGATTTCTAAGGGAAGTATTATGTACCGTGCGGGGACACAATTGTATGATCGTACATATATAAGTACAGAGGTCGATCGCGACTCTTAGTACTATAGTCAAAGTACATTGTATGAACGTCCCATACCAATATCATATGGAAGTAAGGTTTAATGAATAAAAATGATAATATGTGAAGGCTCAAAGAAAAAATAATAAATATATAAATATAATGAAGAGCAATGAATGACTTGGGACTTTATAAGACATATTACTATGGAGTTGCATGGTACTTCTGTACGACGATATGGTCTACGGTAAACGTGGAACCATGAATGGATATGTCTTCCGTGGTGGACATATCATCGATAGCTGGTGGTA